TATATGCATTTTTTATATTTGAAGCCCCCCCATATATAGGGAAATAGTCTGATTTAAAAAAAAAGTATATCCAATGAAAGATGTATATAAATACTACTTCTCATGAAAAAATTGTATTGATCCATACATTTTTTAAAAAGTTATAGCACTTTAAAGTAAAAAATGTAAATTATAAAATCGAGAACACAACAGACACAAAAAAAAAAAAAAACACATCATAGTAAAACCAATACCTTCTCAGCTTCGCATCGAAGCTAATATTGAAAAATTGCTAAATGATCTATTTTTTAAATATAAATTTACTATTTTCTTAATTAAAAACTATTGATATATTACTTTTATATATATTTTAGGCTTGTTAATTATATTTTTCATTAAGCAAGAAACATGATTATTTTAATTAAATAAATGAAATAATATATTAATAAAGCGTGATACTTTTTTTGGTTTTAAATTCATAGATGTATTATATACTAATGTTTTTAAAATGTATCTGTAAAAAATAGTTTTCACAGAAGGTCCTAAAAATATATTAGTAGATTATTTTTTAAAGTTGACAATTGTAAGTTATTCATTAAATTTTGTACAAAGAAATTTTAATTCTCATAAAAAATCCTTCAATTTATTAATAAAATATTTTAAATAGGGTTTGACAGTAAAACTGGTGATTTTAAAATGACTTTGAAAAACCAATAATAATTTTCTTTATACTTTTTTCATTTCACCTGAAGTATATAAAAAATATTTTTAATTTTTCTTTATAAACACTGATTGAGACTTTTTGATGAAGCTGTTGGGCCCCTAGAAGTTATTTTTTAGTGCAAAAAATTTAACAAGTATCTACTCATATGGAATAATCCTCATTTTGTCATAATAATGAAAAACTAAATCTTGTTTAAATAACATACTTTTACAATGAACACATATTCTTATATGTTACAAAGGTTAATAATTACTACATGTTTAGTAATATAGAAATTTTTTAATTTCATATCCTAATATTAACTAAAGGGTTTTCTAAATATATTTTAAAATTAACACTTTCACAGCCCTACCTGTATTATAGATATTTGACTACAATACCTGATTTTTCAATTGAATAGTTTTGAAAATTTAAATATTTTAATCAGTTTCTGCACAAAGATGTGCGTTTATAAATCATATTTGCAGTAGAAATAACAAAAGACCATACATATACAGCCAACAAAAACAATACCTGAAAAATGAAACTAGGTTAATAAAAAAATTATTTAGTGCTATGTAGTAGCGAACCAAAGGTGAAAAAAGATACAAGGGTAGCCCCTTTACCTTTCTCAACCGTTAACAAACATCTCTTCTATAATTAATTCAATATGTATGAATACATAGAATGTTTAAAATTGTGTAGGAGTAATAATCAATTATATCTTTGCCCTGCTAATATTAAAGAGTAATTTAAATATTAAAACTTATTAAAAATAATAATTAAATCTACTTCCAAGTAACTTAGTATTATTTGATATGACAGTAATACTGCAGAAATAACTACTTTTTAGGACATTCACAGCAGACAATTAAAAATCATAGTCTTTTAAGAAATTATAGTTTTATATTTTATCCCCTTCACTTTAACACTTTAATAAATAAATGGCTAAATAAAAATCCTTAAGAATGCTAAGATTACTAATATTTATTTATCCGACAATGAAACGGGAAGTTTGTTAAAACCCAACCTAATGTATTATTCATGAAGTTGTAATTATACTAAAACTATCTTACTATATTGAATAATTTAATTATTTTCTTTGATAAAACCATTTGAATGTTTAAATTTCCCAATAAATTATTAAAAAATTTATAAAGGAACACAATACAAATTTAACGATATTATATTATATAATTAAACCGACACATTTTGTTGATTATTAGTTAAAATTAATTGGTATCTATGTTGTATCGTATCTGTAGCATACAAAAACGTTATCAATTTCTTCATAACTGATAATAATAAAAATGTCATATCGTCACCTAAACTGCAAAACCTCGCAAGCATAAACATATGTATTTATACCATAAAAGAATTATAACTAAACAGTCTATGCAAGGTGGTTTTATCAGGTGTTAAAGCTAAGCTTTTTTTTTATCGTATCACTCCAGTTGAGTTTTCCACTAGAGGGCGTCAACTACCCGATAAAGGCTTCAAATATACTGGCTATTGAGGTAATAATATTGTTTAAAGTAATTACAAGATTTAATTTATTTATTTAAAAATGTTAAATAGTTATTTATCTAAAAATTATTTAAAAATAATTTTTAACTTTACTATGATGGTCAAAAAAAATGATATTATTGAGATAAACGTTTTAAAAACTTACATTTGTTGTATTTATTTTGTAACCATATGTAAATTTATGTATAAATAATTTTCTCCACTTTTCACTGTTTTTTTATATACTTAACTAAATAGGGTGTCTAATATTGAAAAATTATATATAACAGATAGGAAAAAATCGTTTATTTTTAAGTGAATGCATTGTGTTAATTAAAACATGCTAAACAAATGTTTTGTACTTGGATACAATACAGAGCTACATAATGACTACAAGATATACAAAAATAAAATAAACCCTTATCCTTTTATATTTTATTCGGCCGAGTTATAGTAATTTATAATTTATTCAAATCTTACAAGGGATTATTTTTTAGAATAAGTGATAAATTTATTTTAAATATCTTAGAGCATAGCAGAGATTATGAGGTGTAAAGATTAAAAATTGCACAATTTATAATAAACCCAAATAAAATATATATAATTATTATCTATACAAGGAATTATTAAATACATTAAGACAAATACAGTATTTATTACTACAAAAATATTACTATAAACCTAGATGAACTATAAAATTTTATGGATGTAAAAAATATATATATACATAATATATAAAGTGGACTAAGATAGTTAGGTTGTTATAAATTAATAATATTTAGTTGATCAATAATTAATAGAGGTATTTGAATAAGGGAAATTTTAAACAAATGTATAGATAAATCTACCTTAGGTCTATGGATGTATCTTATCGTTTTTAATTATCTGAGTTAAGTTAATGATAATATCATAAAATAACCTAAAAATAAAGAATAAATCTTTATTATCTACGACTAAGACTGATTTAAATTTAACGTGAGTATAATTTTGGAATTCCGATGAATTTATCATTGATTTTTATTAAAATATTTTGTATTCTTAATAATCTTAATTGTTAACTATCCCTTTTTCTACAAAATATAATTTTATTGAAACTTTTAATCATAATGCATTTTTTGTGACCTAATCATTGTTGAACCAATTTTATTTTTATTTTATTATCTTATAAAGTTGTATGTGAACAGTTTTATTCAATATTAATATAGAGAGTATAAGTTACTTTTTTTTTCAATTTCTCTTTATGTTAATATTATTTCTAAAACTATAGAATGACATTAAATCGTTACCTATTATATTTTTCTTATATTGGAACTAGATTTCGGTAAGAAATTATATATCAAGTTATTGTTAAATTAGAAGGGTTAGAATTGTTGGTTAGTTTTATAATTTATTAAATTAAACTTACAGTAGTTCATCATTTTAACAAGTCATAAAATATATTTTGTAAAAAAAAATTTCTAAGTTGAAAATTTAGGTTTTTTTAATTACTATGGATTAAGTATTGCTACCAGATTTGATTGGTGTTAACTAGAGCTGACTCTGGTGTAGGTAATCTTTGTTTTTTTTTTTTTAAGATATAATATAAATGGGAGACTGTTTCTGCATTGCGCTCGATGTTATTTTTTATTTTGTGGAAAGCATGTAATATTTAATAATTTTACATTATTTTTTATTTTCCAACTCGGCAACTTAAAGATACTTTAACTTTTATACCATTTCTTTCTACTAAGTTTTTCAATTTGTTATGAAAATAGCTTAAAACACATTTAAAAAATAAAATGAAAAAAGTGTGTCCAGTAAACTAGACTAATTTGTAAACTAGGAGTAAATCTAGTTTATTATATTCTATTTATAGTCTAGTTTATTTATATCTGTCATTTAATACTTTTAAGTACATTAGTTAACTTATATTTAATCAAATGTTAATGTTTTTTTTTGAAAGATTTTATACATTTTTATCAAGATTTGTTATTACTGATTAATTTTCAGTGGTGTACAAAGACAGCTAACATATGACATTAAATACAATGATGACCCATCTTCTATACAAGGAATAATTGAATATGCACTTAAACAACTAGAACCAAAAAATCTTCCTAAATTACACATATCTAGCCGGTTGGTATTATTTTTTTATTATTATTACTGTTTTAGTGCTAAAAAATGATATATTAAGAAATAGGTAGGTAAAAGATAATAAAATTAGTTTTAAATGTATATATATATAAAGTACTAGGACAGTTTTATTAAGAGAGACTTCATTATTTACTAATATTAGTTTATTTAGATAGGAATTTAAATATCTTAAAGTATCAAATATATTTTTATTCAACCAAATGGTATTTTATTTGTATAAACTATTAAAAAGTATTCATAATAATTCGAAACCAAATAATTTTTAATATTATTCATATAATTTGAATAACTCAAAAATGTTTAAAATTGGATATTTTTATAGTTACTACTCATTATTTCTTATCACTACCCTTAGTGTTTTTAATTAAAATTACAAAAATATTTTTATTCCAGTTTGTACTATAAAAGTAAACACTAAATAAAAAAAAAAATAATTATACTTTTTTTGTCAAGCCTTTACTAAGATCCACTATAAAACTAAAAACAATTTAAACATATAATTGATTAATTATTTATAATTAATTTTTAGTATTTTTTTACTTTAATAATACTCTGATTAAAAATTACTTAATTCTATCCATCATGAAATTTGCATATTGTAGATATAGATATCAGCTTTAAGTATACGTAAAATTCTTTTGATATCATTAACATAAAAAAGTACAAATAATAGTAAAGTTTTGTGATATTTTACTCTCATAGCTCTAACTAAAATAAAAAAAAATTTTGTAATTTTCCTTAAAAATTATCAATACAATTTGAAGAAAAAATCACTTTTCAAAAAAAATGTATAAAAAAAATTTGTTAAGTTCTTTATAATTTTTTTTTTTTAATAAAATAAGAAACTCTTTATTCATAACTGTATTTTGCATGGTCCTTTAAAATACAAGGGTAAACTTTACACACCTCTTAAGCTGACTGTTGCTCCCTTCATAAGCGTGATTTAAACATTACTTTCAACTTTTTATTAACTTTAATGCAAAGATGAGAAGATATTATCATGATTTACCATGATGTGATGTCTTTTTTTTAATTTGTAATTATTTTCTCTTAGCTCTCACTTGACCAATTTTAATGACCTATATTTTAAAATAACACAATTTTAATCTTGTTGAACTTATATTCATCAAATATTTGTAGAAACTCTTTTATTTTAAAAATTCTGAATAATATCTCATAATTTACAATATAGTAAAAAATGACCACTTCAAAAAAATAATAATAAATTAAATTAATAATAAATCATTTAAGTAGAAATCTTAGTAATCGTTTCTATGCAACTCTTGGTGTTTAAATAATTATTTATATTGATGTATTGCACATAATACATTCTGCTTGTTACATATTTTTTTAATTAAAATATATATTTATTAATTATTCATAGGTAACCTAATAATCAAACTTAAATTTTTGTTATATTAATTAGTAGGATTTTTTTATTATTTAGTCCATATGGGAAAATGGGTGTATAAAAGTATATTATAGTCTCTGATAAAAATTCTTTGTAGACCAGTAAATTTATTTATAAATAACAAACAATATTTTTTTTTAAATATTGCATCAAGACCTTCAAATTTTACATATTTTTGACATAAAAATAATAACTACTTTATAATTTTTTATAATTTCTCCGTAAAAATTACAATACTAAATTATTAAATATCAATTTCATATTTGATTGCTATAATAATATTTATTCATATATTATACTTATAAATCCTAGAACTACTAATAGGAATAATGAAGGAAATCGGAGTTAATTTTGCTTTTGGAATATCTACAAATTTCTTAAAATTATTCACTATCTTCAGATTTGCATCAAATCATTTCTTATAATGGTGATTTTAATCACTATCAAATATCATCTATACTTGTCTCAATTTTACCATATCCCCACACTTTGTCGTGACCCCACTGTGCTATTATTTTTAATATACAGGGTGATCGGCTAACTTTGTCTCATGTAATATCTTTAAAAATACAAGTGTTATAAACAATTTTTTTTTTCAATCATTATGGATCTTTGATGAGCTGTTTCATAAGAAAATTAAATTTCTATCATCATACCTTATACTTAAAACTTGTATCAACTTCAGATTTTCAAATAGCAACCACATATTATTTTTGTTCATCATAAAAAAGAAAAATGTTTAGCACAAAAAAAATTATGACTTTTAAACAAGATACGCTACTCGATATTTGATGAAAAAATTCAATAGTTTTTTCAACACAGTCACATTATTATTTTATGTAGCGATAATAGTTAGCGACTTACTGTGTCAACGTACATAGTCAGAGTAACTAAGGTAAGCTTGGTATGTTTATTTATAAAACTGGTAGCTCTTATAGATTTTTGACCTATAACGTTCTAGTCTGTTATATTTTTTTTAATAAACCCTAAATTTTAAAGAGCCGTGGAACGCTTAATATTAAATTAAATAAAATATTTTTTTACTAAACAGTGTTTTTTGCTTATAACACTTGTATTTTTAAAGATATTACATGACACATAGTTAGTCGATCACCTATATAGTTTTGGAGGACATAAAAAGTAAAAAGCAAAGACTTAATAGTTAATAAGTTTAGAAAATTCACTTATATTTTTTCTATTTAGTACTGACCAAGGTGTACATGCATTCAAAACTTCTGCACATATTGACTTGGAATTTTCATATCCTTGCCCTCCAAATAAGTTAGTTTTTCAAGTTAATAATTTTTTGAGATCTGCAGAAGTTTCAATCAAGTAAGAACTTTTTAAATAAAATATTTTAAAAATGTAGTTCAACTACTATAAGTTGTTGTCTTTTAATACATAATTAATCATAATTATACAAAAATATAATTTGCAAGCAATGAACACATGAGATATGTAGTTCTAAATAATATGAATAAAGAAAATATTCTAAGGGTGATATTTATTAGATTTTATTAAAACATACTCTTTAACCTTTATATTTTAATAGTTTTATTTTTAAATTTACAAATTGTGAAATACATTATATGAACAGTTAACATTTTTTTTTTTTTATTACACTGAAAATGACCTATTTTCATTTTTATTTGTTACTATGCATGTTTTATTTTTTATTTATATATAATTTACCATTTCAAACATGATGGGAGGTTATTTTTTATTATTGTAGTGAATAAGCTGAACCAACTATAACCATGGTATAAGACGAAGCATAGGTATTGTGTCAATGGTGGATAAGATGAGAAAAAATAGACTTAGATGTATGAGGATAGAGGAATCAGAAGCTGTAACAATAGTTATGGAAATAAATGTTGATGAGAGAAAAGGTAAAAAAATAAATGAAGGGATGTTATTGAAAGTGATATAGGAAACATCCTATATCATCCTATATTGAAGCTGATGTGGGAGATTGTGTCAAATAGAAATTTAAGATAAGGGTGATTGTCCCCAAATAGTTAGGATAAAGACGAGGAAAAAGAAGAAGAAGTAATTATACAGGTAGATAAGGAATTTCAATATTTTACCATAAAGTATAGGAGTATCTCCTTCTACATATCTTAAATCTTCTTCAATTTCGTCTTCTAGCATTTATGGACATTGGTTTTTTATTACTCATCTTAGTATAAAAAAAAACTTAATTAAACTAATTATACTTATCAAATATACTTTTTTGAGAACAATGCCTAAAATATAAAATGCTGATGCTAAGTAAATATATATTACTTAACATCAGTATCATAATCTATTACATACACATTCAACCATACTATATTTCTATACAATTCATATTAGCTACATAACACTGGAAATAAAATAATACAAACAAATATTTTAATTGATGAATAAATCTAATTTTTACCCAAGTATTATATAATACTATATAGTGGAGTAAAAGCTATAATTATTATGTTATGAAATAGTAATAGTACAACTATTACACAACAAAACACTATTTTCAGATTAGTTGGTGCTCAATATGTTTCAAATGATTTTAATGCAAGAGGGTGTGTTAAGTGGAGAAAATATTTGTATCGATTAGCAGTGTTAAAACCAGAATATATAAATTTATATTATGAAAAATTTGTATTTCCAACTCCCATTACTGAAGAAAAAAGATGTTTTTTTATCAAGTAAAGATATAAACCACTTTTTGATAATTATTTGTTGAATTCTTAATATTACCAAATATTGGAATCTATGAGTATTTCAGAAGCTTATTTAATAAAATTTTGTATTGTAAAAATCAAAAAGATTTCATCTCTATTAAAAATCCATAGAATTTTTTTTTATTTGGGTTTAGGTTAAAAATGTTTCTAATAATAATATTTATTGAATATATTAACTTTTAGCTTCGATGCGAAGCTGAGAAGGTATTGGTTTTACTATGATGTGTGTTTTTTTTTTTTTTTTTTTTNATATCCCTCATTCCCCGTAAATGGAGGAAACCTCCAAAAAAATTACAAATTTAAAAATCGCTAATTTTCGAAATTTTTTTTACTAAAAGCTGCCGTAACTCCTTCAAAAATGAACATATTAATATAATTTTTTTTTTTATAGATGCTTGATATCTTTACTTATCATTGGGTATATTTTTTTTGTAAATTTGACCTTTTTTCTGCCCACAGAGGGGGATTTAAAATGACAACTTTTTCACAAAAAACTAACATTTTCAACTTAACTTTTGAAAATGTTCCGGAAGGTCTGACACTTTTATATATATCTTAAATTGAAGCTTATGTAATATACTTTAATTTGAAAAAAAAAAATTTGACCTCTGGACTTGTCTTCGTGGTGAAAGTTGACATCAAAGTTAATAAAAAAATACTATTTTGGTAAAATAATTTTTTTTAATATTTTTAACTTAATAATGCTCTAACTTTTTCAAAAATGAACATATCAATATAATTTTTTTTTATATAGATGCTTGATGTCTTTACTTATTATTTGGTATATTTTTTTTGTAAATCTGACACTTAACCTGCCCACAGGGGGGGATTTAAAATGACAACTTTTTCACAATAAATTTACTTTTTCAACATAACTTTTGAAAATGTTCCGGAAGGTCTGACACTTTTATATATATCTTAAATTAAAGCTTATGTAATATACTTTAATTTGAAAAAAAAAAATTTGACCTCTGGACTTGTCTTCATGGTGAAAACGGCTACCGAATGCTATTTTTGTGTGAAAATTCTCGATTTTATTATTTATATTATATTTAACTTTATAATGCTATAACTTATTGAAAAGTTTATGGATCCACACAATTTTTTTATGAGAAATAATATTTTTTAATAAACCATTTTTCATTCGACATCCTTTATCTTAATCGAGATATTAATAAGGAACCAGCAGATCAAGTAGCCTTTAGAATAAAACACCAATTTTTTTTAAATTTAACACTATCTAAAGATTTGCATCGAAGTGTTTATTTTTTATAGTGATTTTAATCACTGTCAGATATCATTATACTTGATCCAACTATGCCACGTTACCACTGTGCCGCGACCCCCCTGTGCTGGGTTTTTTTATAATTAAATCCCAAATAAATGTAAGAATATTGTTTATACATTTTTTATAAATTCTAATATTATTTTCATATTATGATAAATATTTCTATTTTTAGTTGTCCAGATTTCAATTTAGATCTTATGAATGATGTAATCCCATTATTTATTGGCACTAAAGATTTCAAAACATTTATGGCTAAACCAAAACTGTTCAAAAATACTGAGTGAGTTAAGTATCAATTAACAAATTATTCAAAAATTATTTAAACATTGTTTATCTGACAACATTCTCAAAAATTCACCAAATAAGTTTTAAAATTAACTTTAAATTGTATAAATATCATAAAAAATAAACTTTAATCAAGCAATATATTTAACTATTTTTCTTTCAGGGAAGAGTGAATCAATTTTATTTTTTAAACAAAGCTTCCTAACAAAGGTTTATAGTAAATAAAAAATGTGCATCTGTCAGGTGCATGCATATAAATTTGTACGTCAAATTAAAAATAATGGCTAACTTTTATTTTATTGAATTAAATCTTAATAAAAAAAGATCCACTAATTAATAAGAGTTAATATATACTTATTTATATTTGACTAGAAAATATAGTTATCCGTGTAACAAATCCAACAACTATGCTTGTACAACAAAACAACCCATACAAGTTAAAATTAAAAAAATATTCAACTATCAAGATTATACAAAATGAAATTCAAATGCTAAAGTAGGGGATACAATATATATATATATACTAAATAATAAATTAGTGTTATACAGAGGAAAAAAAATTCAATATGATTGACTAGCAAAGTTGTAAATCCTACATGAAATCAAGTTTTAAGAATAACATTACTTAAATACTCAAGAATAAACAAATATTACAGAATCACTAGTATTCTCACAAGAATCTTTTACTAACAAATATCTATTAAAAATATAATATTTTTTAAGAGTATTATAAAATGCATACATTGTATTTAATTGTATAGGAGCTCACAAAATAGCAAATTGTGTATATTTTATAGATCTTAAGAGAACAGTATTCATTAGTAAAAAAATATTAAAGATATAAAAGACAAACAAGAAGTGAAAACAAACAAAAAAAAATAGACAAACTCAACTTTTATTTTTAAAAAAATCTGTTTTAGATTAGACGATAATTCTTTCATAAATACAATAATTTACAATTCAAAATCATATAACAGTCTTTCAGTTATAATTAGCTTATTCCTTTTTTTTTTTCAAACATATTTTAGTTATTATTATGGATAGTAGATATATTTTGTGCATATATTTTTTTAGTTATGCTTAAAAGTACATAAATCTATTAATTTATTGAGACTTCTTGTTTTATTAAATAAATAGAATTTATATTATAAGCCTTTTAATCTTTTAAAATATTACTATATATATTAGGGTGGTCCTTATTTTTCGACTTCATAAATTCAGAGTCATGGGCTCAAAATTTCGTTAGGTTCACTGAAAAAATGAAACTGGTAAAATTTGAGTACAATAAGTCAACCCTTTCACGTGCCTCAAAGGGGTTGAAGTTCTTCAAAAATGGGGTGGATTATCTTTTTTTGAACAATTTTTATAGAACTCAATGTGAACAAAAAATAAGGTAATATACTATTTTTTTGTAAAATTAATATTTTTTCGTAAAAATAAGAAAAATCAGTTTCACTTAATTTTTTTAAAAAAATGACATAGTTTTCAGTTATACTTTTCTAGTGTCTTAAATTTTAATTGTACGCAGAAATTGTATATAAAAACTGCTTACTTATAATGTCCTGAAATTATTGTGTAATATTTAATAATTACCTGTACAATTTGCAATTTCTAACTTCTCTTTTTTCTTTCGATCATCTTCTTCTTCTTGAGTAATTTTACGTTTTTCAATACCTATTAACTTCATATCAATACCAAGCATGCTTCTGGGCGGCCCTTTTTAAGTTGTGACAAAAACTGTTTGTCTTCTTCAATACTTCATTTTATATTCAGAGCTTCGATATGAGAAATGTCAAAGAGGTTGTCTAATTCTTCAGAAAAAATATTATAATGTTGTTCTTGTGTTTGTTTTTCTAGATTTATTTTTGTCCAACTTTCTCTATTTCTCATACAATATTTTTAACTTAATAACACAGTCTGAAGAATACTGTGTAGGAATACGCGCTTTTCTCCAAAATATTAAACACTCATCTATTACAATTATTATTTTATTGTGTTTCTTGTTTTTATTTTATTTATTATAACTAAGAAAATTTGTTAATTTATGAACAAAAAAACATACATGCAAAAAAAATTTAAAAAAAAAAAAAAAAAAATACGTTTTTGTAGTTGTTTTAAATTTTTATTTGGAAAGGATTCATAATTCGAAAAAAACTCAAATAACGTTTTTTATAGAAGATATCACTGTGATTAATATTACTTCTGTACAATTTCTGCGTACAATTAAAATTTAAGGCACTAGAAAAGTATAACTGAAAACTATATCATTTTTTTAAAAAAATTAAGTGAAACTGATTTTTCTTATTTTTACGAAAAAATATTAATTTTACAAAAAAATAGTATATTACCTTATTTTTTGTTCACATTGAGTTCTATAAAAATTGTTCTTTGTGTTTTTGGCGAAACTTCAAAAATAAAGAGCGTACACTCAAAAAAAGATAATCCACCCCATTTTTGAAGAACTTCAACCCCTTTGAGGCACGTGAAGGGGTTGACTTATTGTACTCAAATTTTACCAGTTTCATTTTTTCAGTGAACCTAACGAAATTTTGAGCCCATGACTCTGAATTTCTTAAAAAAAAATTTTTATTCTATAACTAAGGACCGCCCTAATATATATATATATATAATTTAATTAGCTAACAACTTGTGGTCATAAAATTGTATACACTGACTTAATTTAATTATAAATTGAGTATGCTTGTGTACATTTTATAAATTTAAATATATTACTTTCTTTAAAAACAAAATAATTTTCTAGCTAAAGACTAATAATATAAAATATGCATGCATTGAATTATACACAAAACAAGTGTTTTTCTATTTAATAATACAATATTATTAATATTATTCAATAATAATGTAATTAACTTTAAAATTAAAAGTTCTAAAATACTATTTTTTAAATTTTCATTATGAATAAAAAAAATTGTTTGAAATTGTCAATTAGAATAAGATATAAAAGTATTTATTGTCAAAAAAATATTAATGGATTTTTATTTGGAAAATTTTCTTTTTTAAACTTTCAGAATAAGTACAATACGAACATGGAACTCTCTTAATATTCTGCCAGGGAAATCGTTTTACGCTTCAGAATTTGACAAATATTATAATTACTTGGATATATTTATTGATGCAAGGTCATTTTTATATAAACAAGTAAGATATGTATTCAATATTGTATACAATATTCTGTAATTTTTATGATGAAATGCTTAAATATGTATTTATATTTTGGATACTTAAAATTTGTTATTATAAACATTATTGGGATCAATGAGCCTATTAAATCGGTCTCTTGATTATAAGAAACTATAATCAGTGGTTATAAGTTTTTAAATTTTTCTATTCCAAAATTACTCTTAAACAAGTGAGAAGAATTCAAATGAAACTATAATATAGAAACATTGCCTTTCAAAAATTATACAGTATATTTTATTGATTTTTTTTTTACAAATCTAATACATTTATTACATTTTGAGCTTTATTCTTAAGTATGGAACAAAAGTACAAAAATTATGTGAGAGGCATGTCCTCAAATTTTTTCATACAGTTTTTTTATCCACAGTCACCCTGTGAATAGGGAATAAGAATACTTCCACGGCCCATCATCCAGTCATAAGGGGTGACTAATAAGGTTGTATCAGGTCGACAGCCAGCGTAAAATTTTGTCAAAAGGTGTGAGGAGTCCTGAACAAAACTTAGGTGGATTATCCCATCTTGGATGTACGCAGGGAAAAAAGGAAGTGGTCGACCCCAAGTAGTTGGGATTAAGGCGAGGAAAAAGAAGAATTTTTAATGAGATATTTATATTTTTATAATACAAAATAATTAAAAACATAACTTGAATTTTAGAAAATATTTTTACTCAAAAATATATTATTTACTACATTTTTAACTATATAAGAAAATATTATTTTAAACTTTAAGAATCATAATTTTTTTAGGGTACATTTACATTTAATAATACCATTATAAAATCTTAAAATTTTAGCCTAAGACTTAGGTTATAGGTCTTTTTATTAATTGTTGTTCAACTGTTCATTATTTTTTATGTACATCAATTTAGGTTAGAAGAACCGTTGGGGTACTTATAGGAGTTGCTCAAAAAAAGTTATCATACAATGATGTCTTGTACATGTTTGACAATCCATCAAGCAAAAGTTGGAATCCTAGAGTATCAACTGCCCCTAGCCATGGACTTTATTTGTATGATATTGGCTATGATGAATTAGATTTGAAAATACCTGATCACTTTTTAAAAGTTGAATCAGATTCTTGTGAAATATTGAAAGAAGATACTTTGGACTTGAGAAAAGAAATTATTAAAGAACGTATAAAAAAAAGAAGAGAAGATTACAATAAGCGTGTTTCTGTGTCTTTGGAAATAATAAAACAAAATGAGCTTTTTAGAACAAATAAAAATTAAAAAAAAAAATTTAGTTACTGTTGAAACTAAAGTGAAAACAGAAAATGGTAAAGTTTATAAAGAATTAAAAACTAGTAATGGTGTATTTTATCAATCATTGTTAAAAGATGAGCAAATGTGTGGTTATATAGTTGATACTAAACCTGATTTAAATGTTGGAAAAGTATTTGAATTTTTATATTTTGGGTCACAAGATGCTGCTGCTGACTTAAGCATTTTGAAATCATTAAAAATATCTCATATTATCAGTTTAGGTGTACCAGTTCCTAAATACAAAGGCTACATTTATAAATCAATTGATATATATGATTTACCTACTTTTGAATTATCATCTATAATTAAAGAATGTATTCAATATATTGAAGACATTCACAATTTGGGTAATCGTGTATTCATTCATTGTAATGCAGGGATTTCACGATCACCTTCAATTGTTATTGCATTTGTAATGAAATACTTAAAAATGGATTTTAATGAAGCTTTTAAGTATGTAAAAAAAACAAGACCCAATATTAAGCCCAATGATGGCTTTATTGTACAATTGAAAAATTATAATTTAAGTGGAATTTAAGATAATGATTTTTTACCTAATATTATTTATCAAAGTAGTATTTAATTAGACATCTAAAAATAAGAACTAATTATTCTACAAGGTCTTATTAACATAGATAAATATAGATAGAACAAAATCATATTTTTTTCTAGGAGAGATATAAACCCCCACCCATTTAGTATCCCTTTTATTCTTTTATGGTATGGTTACTGATATGTATAAAAACCTTTAAAATATATTTTATCGGATTCATTGACTACCCTAAAAGTTCCAGTGGCGCCCTGAAGCAGCTGCCTCAGTTAACCACATATGTAAACACATCACTTTTTAGAGTAGACAAAAAATAAGCATTAATTAATACAAATTGCAAATATTACAAATCATTCAAAGCTATGCAATTCGCTATGAACATAAATTTTAGTTCAGGCAAATTAGATGCAATTTTGATGAGAAGCGAAAAAAAGATAAATTTTGACATTATAAATAAAGAATCCTATATAACATTCTAAAATCAAATGCGTGCTAAAGAGCTCTTTGTGTGAATTAAATCAGTTTTTCATAATTAATTTGTTTTACTTTAAGACTAAAAAATAAATACTTATACATGTTACTGTAGAAGAGGTTATTATTTATAAAAAAGATACTTATATTTTTTGTGAGAGAATACTTACTTATATAATTACACATGTAATATCAAAGTACTAAAAACCTGTTTTACGACAACCATAATTGTCTCACATTTTATTTTTTTGTATATGTATTATTATTAACAACAATAGGCATACAAAAAATATTATATTATAAAAAATAATTTATTAAAATTATAATATTGATTAATAATTATTGTATAATGAATGCACATTATTTTGAATTATTATATTACAAATACATAATTTAAAAATATTTCATTTCCTAATAATATGATAATTGAGGACATAAAATAAAAAATTTTAATGTAGTTATATCTAATCAATGTATTTAAAACTTGTATTTTTATTGAATATATATATAAATGCAAAATGTGTTATTGTCTGTTTTAATATAAATAAACTTTTAGTAGAAGAGCTATTATTATTTATTTTTATGTCAAAAGTCAATTTTACTCATTTTACTATTCTTAACTTTATTTGGAAAATTGCAAAGATAATGAAAAATATATATTTTTTAAATTATTATACATAATAAAATAATGTACCATCAAATATTTCAATTTTAAGTTATTGTAGTTGTGAAATAATTACGTAAAATCAAAAAAATATCATGAATTTAATATTAGATGCTTTAAGTAAAAAAAATTAGTTTTATTTAAAATTTGCATAAAAACTTTCACCTAAATTTATAACCCACAATTTAATGACCTAGAAATAAACAAAATTAATTTGCATTACTAAAAAATTAAATGTAATTCAATCATTATTTAAATAATTTTTTTATAAAAGAATGTTTAATTTATGTATATAAATAACACATGCCTATCTATATATGGCATATCTATGTATGAATTATACAATTTATTTATCAAAATTATGTGTAAATATCATAAGATAAAAATAATGTGTACTAAATATATTACTTATAAAAAATGTTAAAAAAGCAATATTTGATTCCAAAATTGATTGGTGACAAATTAATATAAATTAAAGTTTAAACAAAAGGATCTAAATTAATTAAAAAATAAAAATCTTATATAATAAGTTTATTATGTCTACATTATTTAAATTAATATATTTTTGTAATCATTTTTTCAAAAAATATCATATTTTTTAAGAAAATTTTGAAAAGTAAATTAGTTGATTGCAGATTCCAATCTAGTCGAATCTGCAGTCATAACCATACTTTGTTTACTGAATAAATCAATAGTCAAACTAGATAGTAATACAGGTATGGAGCGCTGTTGACCTAAATGTATATTTATCATTTCTTCAATAGTTTTTGAAAATGAAGTTTCTAATAAATTCATAGAACCTTCATTTAACTGAAAAAAAATGTAAATTTTCATTAAATATATATACTATGTACAATAAATAATTAGATTAACTATTTTTCTTTTACTTTTCAGATCAAAAATAAAATTTACCCTCTCACTAAACTTGGTTTTACTATTTTTTAAGTAGTTTAATTCTGATTCAAACTAAATTCGTTTGCTTTGATAAAAGTAATTTTATAAGAGAAACTATAAATTAAAATACCATATAGTCTTAAGATCAAAAATTTCAAATTGCTATCTTATTTGTTATAAGTAATGTAATTAAAAATTTTTTGGTTAATTTTGCAACTTTATAGATATCATTCAAAAAAAATTTTTCTATGCCTCTTCAGATTTAAAATACTAAGGTGAATATTTGCACCTTAGTTATATATAAAAACTCAACTGTGTTTCAAAATGTAGAACGTTATACGTTTACTTTAAATAATAGAAAAGAGAATAGTTCAATTACAACTTAACTGTAATTATTAAAAGGTATAATTTAAAGAGATAAATATATAAAATATGAACACATGTAAAAGTACATTAAATAAATATAGAACAATGATTATCTCCAACAATTAAAAAAAAAAACCCAGTAACTACTCACATTACCCACAGTGCTTCTAAGGTACTTGTCTCATACAAAAATATACTTAACACCACTAACATAAGTTTATGGATTACTTTCGAAAACCATACTGATGATACCAATTGCAACAAATATGGATTACCCAGTTTGACGACTAGATACTCGCCCATTAATTTATTTTACAAATTCTTCTATACTTAACAACTAAGTGTTAAATCATTATAAACAAGTCAAAATTCAGTTAAACTTTAATTCCTATCTATTATTGTGACAGATATAATAATCTATTATTTGTTAATTCAATTTTGATATTGTACACTATATACTATTTTACACTAGCCACCCTCTTCAAATTTAAAAATATGTAATCATTTGTTATACACATACTTGGAACAATAAGTTATCTTCTTCATGGAAAGCAAATTGACTTGTAAGTCTGTACATATTGTTTTGCAATCCATCCACTTTATAACCTAATAATGTATAAACAGATTCTCTAAACTCCTGGCTACTTTTTTTAAACACTTCCCGTAATCGCTGATTTTGTATTTCTTGAGATTTTAATTTTTCTTTCAGACCTAACAAAAAAAATTGCGCATAAGACTTATTTTATATATTATTAATAATACATCATTATTAGAATTATATACCCACATCTCAAAAAAAAACACACTTAGATATACACTACTTCAAAGTTTTGACCTCCCATACAAAGGCGCAATTAAAATTTTGAAGATGCTAATTATATTTCCCCCTCTTAAAGTACTCTTACATAACAATATATATACTATATTATATAGTTTTCAATTTTGTTGGGGGCTAATTTGTTAACTGGGGAACCAAGACCCCTCTTGTTGAGCCTATGCTTACATTGGAGCTACATTGTATATTACTTTGTTATTAGCATTTTTAAAAAACTCAAGTCACTTTTCATAAATAATTCAACATTAGATAGATAATAATAGTCCAGAATTAGTTATATAAAAATGTGAAAATAATAAATTCTGATTTGTGGAATCATAGATTTGATAAAATAATTTAATTTTATGAGTTTCTTAACAGTTATTATAAATACTTTTAACTAAAATTGAATCACTTATCGTCAAAATACCAAAAGTTGGTTTTTACAGAAAATAAAAAAAAAAAACACTTCAAGATGACTATTATTACTTTTTATATAATTATTTTCCTTTTATTATTATTACTATTAAATGAGTTCATTCAATTTATAAAATACATTATTTTTATACTAACTTAACCCTAGTAAACATTTAACAGTGAAAAAGTTTAAAAAACTCAGTCCTTGTTCAAAAAAATATTTTTAATTTTAAAGTTAATTACATTATTATTGAATAATATTAATAATATTGTATTATTAAATAGAAAAACACTTGTTTTGTGTATAATTCATTGCATTTTTATTTAACTAGCTTTAAAAATATATTAAAATTAATGAAATCTCAATACTTATAGCATATATCACAAGAAAAATAAATTTAATGAAAAAGCTGAATTGAGCACAGAGCTAAAAATATTGGAGGTGAAAAATTTATTTTTACTGATAGAACAATTTTTTTAATTATTATTTTTTAGTAACATCGTCTTCTATTAAGAAATCGCTAACTAAAACAATTGAATTTTTCTAAATAAGGGGGGTGACAATCCCTACTTTTCCTCTTAAGACAGTCCTGTTTGAGCTTTAATTTTAATAAAAATTTAACTTTTGGTTAAATAAAGTCCCAACTACAATAATTAGGACTTTCATCATAAAATATAATCATTATATTGATTATTCAATATTCTAGTTTGAATATAAAGTCATTATTTTATCATAGTATAAAAAATTTTAAATAAATTATTTTAGTAGAAAAAAACAAAATTTGCAAAAAGCCAAATTGGGCCTTTATTTTTCAGTGATTCAATGACTTCTAAATATTACCTTCAACTTCTTGAGATGCATTTGTTTCTACTCTGTCATCAACTACTTGAGTAAGATTCATAGATATACCTTCTTGCATAGCTTTAATACGTTCTTTTAATTTTTCTATTTCTTGTTTGGCTTGTAATAGATCATTTTGATAATTATTAAATCCTTCAGAAGCAGGGTTCATCCTAAATGATAAGTAAAACGAGTAATAATAATTATTATTATAATTTATTTGCAACATACTTAAAATGTAAAACTTTAGTTTCCCTAAGATTGAAATCTCCTTTTAGAGCTCTATGGTCAATTTGATCTCTCAAATCAACACATTTTTCTTCCAGTTGTTTACATTTATTTATTAGTTCTTCCTTTTCTTTAAGAAGTGCTGTCTTTTCTTCAATCCACCTTTTATCATTATCAGTAGGACAGTATAATGAAGGATCAGTTTCGATTTCAGTCATACGATTTTTATAGCCAGTTATTGCTTTTTCTAGAACTTCCATTTTTGTATCCTCTCCATTTAAATTACCAATGACAGTTACTTCTTTTTGGAAGGAATCTATTAATTCACGAAGATCATTGCGTTCCTTAATAAATAATAAATTATATAAATTTTCAAAAATTTAATTATATTATATAATAGAGTAGTCCAGTTACAAAAGGACATGGTTCATTGTCCTATTTTGTACATATGTTCTTTTACAAGTGGTGATTCATATGTTAAATAAATTACCCATGTAACCATATACAATTGTTTTTTTAATCGTTTAATAGTTCCTTCAAGTTTACTACTATTATTTCCTGCAACTGTGAGTTGATCTTTCATTTTAATAAAATCGTTTTCTATTTGTTTTATTTTCAATTCCAATCGAGCCAAACTTTTATAAAAAAAAATTATTTTTTTATTTACAAATACATAATAATATTTTATAATTATTACAAACCTGCTTTGAAGTTCACCCTTTTCATTTACTAGGAACATTTCTTTTTTCTTTAAATTTTCTACATAGTATCTTAAGTATTCTGGATAACACTGACTCTCTGATATATTTTCACAGCAATCTTGGCACACATCAATCCATTTTTTTAAACGATCTTCACAAATAGCCAAATTTGATCGTAATTCTATAGCTTCTTTTTCTAATAACTCATACTTGACCAACTTATTTTCTAAAGTGGCAACTTTGTTTTCAAGTATTTCTGTTTGCTTTACATCATTTCTAAAATAATATTTTAATCATCAACATGCCATTTGAAAACCCAGCAAAGTGAAAAATCAATATATTGAAATATGATAATGATTTAAATTACTATCATTTGATATGAACATACTAGAATAAACTATTTTAAAAGGGGTGGATTCATACATATGTGCCCCCTTCCATTCTTTAAGCTATACTACTATGAAAATTAAAATATTTTTCCAGCCATTTTGACTAACTAAATTACAATATGTCTAGTGAATGTTATATTAAGTAACAGACAAAAAAATGTAAAATTTATTACTTCTCAGCTTCCCATTTAAGCACTAAAACACTTAAAAAATATTTAACAAAGAAGATAACCTGTAAATAGCTACTTCTCCTCTCAATGAAATTAGTTCACTTTCCATGGAACTAAATCTTTTTAACTTCTCTCTTTGTGAATTAACTATCATAGAGTTTTCATGTAATAAAGCTAACTCATTTTCTAAACTCTAAAAATGAAAAAATAATAAATAATATTAATTATATATTATATATATAATATTAACTATATATATTATATTAATATTTGTCCTTTTTAAGAGATATGAAGTCTTATCTAATTATTAAGTGTAATCAGAATTCCAAACTATTCTGAGATTCTTTTTAGGAAAGCAGAGCTAACTAAATTTATATAATTACCTAAATATTAATTCTTAAAATAAGCTTAACTACTAAACCCTGGTTACATATATATAAAAAGAATTGCACAAATACTAATTTACAAAAAATAATTAATATTAAAATTTTGTATTGTTACAAAAGGTTTTGTTAATATTAAATTGGTACCTAAACATGTTAAACATTTGATAATTACTTTAATTCTTTGATTTGCACTATTTAATTTAACTTGATCATTTTCTAACGTATTAATTTCAATTTGTTTTTTTCTAAGGTTATTAGTCAATTCTTCAATATATTTTTCATTAGACCTCAAAGTTTTTTTTATTTCATTTAATTCAAAGTCCGAACAGTTTTTTGTAACACTTTCATTTTGGCATTTTGTTAACTCAAAAGTTACCTACATTAAACATTAATATATATTACTTAAAGATCAGTTATAAAAATAATATTAAAGATTCTGAATTGATAAAATATAATAACATTTTTGTCAATAGTTAAACTTAATATAAGGAGTTTATGATTTATCATTGATCACTATTTTTTTCTTAAAATAAATTTGAAAATATTTTTTGGTTGTGTTGTATATTTATTTTTTAATTTTTAAGTAGTTAAATATTTTTTAAGTCCATATATTATCCCTTAAAAGTACTACCTAAACTTTCTCTAGATGACAACATAAAAATTTCACAAGTTGATATAATTGAAAATATTCCAGCAAAGAAAATTATTAGCTAATACAAGTATTGAACCAGTATTTTAGTATTAACATTTTAAATAAAGACATGGGGTGAAGAACTGGTTAGGATATTTGTATCATTCATATTTCTCTGCCACACTAATTGTATAGCTCAGATGTAAAAATATTCATAATTCCTGAATCACTGGGTCAAAAATTGTTATTGATTAGTTATTTTCTTAGTTGGATAATTTCTCATTATATGAGTTAATTAAAAATTTAAGTCAGTACACTTATAAAGTATAATATATGGACTTTTAACCATTTAAAAACAAAATAATAAATACTACATAACAAAACCAAAAAGAATAAATTTTCAATATTTATATTTTAGTAAATACTAGTAGCAAACGATAGATAATCTTGTAAAAAAATTATTACATACATTATTTAATTTGGTTTCAAGTTCTTTGTTTTCTTTTTCAATTTTAGATATTTTAATATTGTTTTCTTCTAACACCATATCAAGTTTTTTTGATAAATTATCATTTTCATCCTTCAAACTTAATTTTTCATGACGCAATTCTTTTAATCGATTGTCTAATTGTTCAATCTAGAAATTAAAAATATGAAATATTTATAATTAAAAGTAAAGCTTATTACAGACCATAAATTTTGATTTATTTATATTATGTTCTAATGCATTTTTTTCTCTTTCAAATAAAAGATCAGATTCTTTTTTGAGATTAAATAATGTTTTATTTCGTTCTTGCAATGATGCAATTTCAGCACGAGCACTAATAAGTTCTTGTTTGATACGACGAGATTCCCAAGGAGAAGTAACTGGTGCTAAGTAACAACAAAAAAATTTTTTGATAAACTGAAATATGTTCACAGTAAATATTTATATTTTAATCACATACTAAGCATAGATTCTTGTAAATCTGGACTACAAGATCTTCGTCGTTTATTAGATAATAATGAATCATTAGTAGAGAGACCAATACTTGTATCATAATGCATCCTTAGTGGTTTTGACCGATTATTTGTTGAACGTAGATCATCTAATATTTTTATGACAAACGTTTGGTCATCATCCTTGGGTTTATTCATATTTAATAACAATAACTTTTTCTGTAAAACAAAAAATGTATTTTCTCAAGTAAAAAATATACTTTTTTTAGAAAGAAAAATTACAATATATAATAATTTCACTTAAAATAAAATTTGGCTTACCGATGTGCAATCCCTGGGTATAGTGTACTGATAATAACTGTGTATCTGTAAAACAGTGAGTTTCAATTACAAAGATAACCGATACTCTAGGAAAAACCATTCATCCAAATTAAAAGGTTTTTATTTTCCATGAAGTTTTACTTTAAAACATTTCTTAAATATTAATTAACTTTAATAATAATTATTAGTACAATTGAATTGAAATGTATAAATTTTGTCAAAATCGTTCTTTGAAAGTCCGTAACTGGCAATATTTACTACATTTAAAGTATAAACTAAATAATCTTCAATTTTTATAAACTTATTATCAGCACAGATAAGATAAACCTTATCTGTGCTATCAGTAACATAAATTATCTATTTATCACTTACAAGCACAAAAATAGATAATAAACATTATTTATAATTGGGCTTACAAGTAATCGTTATGATTAAAAAAATTAATGTAAATACTATTAGAATTAAAATACAGCTACTTAACATTTTAATAATTTATGGATTTTAACTTAAATGTTTTCATTTTAGCTGATAATTATTTTTTGCTGTTTAAAAATAGGTTTCTAGTAAACACTTATTAAAAATGAATATCCAGTGTGCATGTATAGAATTTGAAATTTATGTATTATCGTGTCAAGTTTGTGTAATATTTACGTCTAATATTCATAAAGATTATCAAATAGCAATCGAAGATAAAGTAATTAAGATAACCATTAAAAATATTATTTATACTTTAAATGTTCAAGATTACACTTTTGAGAAAAATAGTTTTAGAGAAGTACAAGTTAAACAAAATAAACTATTTTTTCGAGCTCAATTAGCTTGTAAGCCACTTACTGAAGCATCTTGTTTTACATTTGTTTCCAATAGTATACCTAAAATTAAAACATCTGAAGAAATATTTATTATTTGCAAACTTTGTAAAGTATTGATAAATAAACAACCATTTAAGTTTAGCAGGGTTTTGCCTATTGAAATTTGGGAGATGGATACAGATATGTTTTGTCATGGAGGTACTGAAAACCTAAAATTCAAAGCACAAGATGATGATTGTTATTATGATAATATATCAATATATTTAAAAAATAAAAATTCATTATTATGTGATTTAATTCAATGTCAGAATTGTAAGTTATGTATTGGTACTAAGGTAGATTGTGGAGTTAGGCTATGGTTGGATTGCATTATAATCAAATATGATGGTGATAATGAAAAACATGAACTATGTATTAATTCCTTTAACTGTTTTGCAATAATAATGGATAATTTCATTAGAACTATTTTTGGACCTATGTCATATTTAATTTTAGAGTATATAGATTCAAGCAATACAAGTCATTTTCTTTCAATGCAAGTTATAAAAAAGAGTGAAGTGGCACTTTGCTTAAATTTAAACTTGAATTGTGATCTTATTTTAAATAGACAAAATTGCTCGAGTATTATTTGGCATACATCAAGTGAATTTGTCTCTAAATGGAGAAATATGTACTTAGTAACTGAAATACAAGTATCAGGAAAAATGTATCAAAATGCAGTTTCTTATTTAAAAAAAACCAATCAAACATTTATTTTCAATGAAACTCACGACAAGAATGAAAATGCATCGAAAAGTTATTTATTTGAAAAAATTATTTGTAATATTTAAAATTTGTTAATTTAATTACAATAAATACTTTTTTGTAATTTAAATATTCCAAATTTAGAAAAGGAAATTCCTTTAAAACTACTTTCTTAAGTAATCAAACTCTTAAATATTTTTAGTATGTTTAAATTGTAAAAGGAATTTGATTTATTAATCAAATGTACATGCACTAAACTAAATAATAACTTTATTTATTATTGTAAAATATAAAAGTAATTCTTACTAATCAGATTACAATGAACATATTTTGTCCATTTTATCCCTTATTATATGGCAAGGAGTAAAAAGTGCAGGTTATGACTTATTCTCAGAATTAGTCTGAGAACTTTAGCCATAACCTTTAATTATTAAGGATCCACAGAATTTTTGTTTAAGAACAGTATAAAAAAACCCAGCACAGGGGGGTCGCGGCACAGTGGTGACGTGGCATAGTTGGATCAAGTATAATGATATCTGACAGTGATTAAAATCACTATCAAAAAAAAACGCTTCGATGCAAATCTTTAGATAGTGTTTAATTTTAAAAAATTGATGGATTATTCCAAAAGCTTCATAAACTGCTAGTTCCTTATTAATATCCTGATTAAGACAAAGTATGTAGAATAAAAAAGAGATTATTAGAAAATAGTATTTCCCATAAAAAAATTATATTGATCAATACACTTTTCAATAAGTTATAGCATTATAATGTTAAAAATGTAAAAAATAAAATTGAGAATTTTCACACAATAATAGCATTTGGTAGCCATTTTCACCTTGAAGATAAAATAAAGTCCGAAATTTTTTTTTTCCATGATAAAGTATATTACATTAGCTTTAATTTAAGATATATATAAAAGTGTCAGACTTTCCGGAACACTTTCAAAATTTAAGTTGAAAAAGTCAATTTTTTGTGAAAAAGTTGTCATTTTGAATCCCCCCCTGTAGGCAGGTAAAAAGTCAGATTTATAAAAAAAATATACCAAATGATAGGTAAAGACATCATGCATCTACAAAAAAAAGAATTATATTGATCCATACATCTTTCGAGAAGTTATAGCATTATAAAGTTAAAAATATAAAAAAGAATTTTTTTACAAAAATCGTATTTTTTTTATTAAGTTTAATGTCTGTTTTCACCATGAAGATAAAATAAAGTCCGAAATTTTTTTTTACCATTATAAAGTATATTACATTAGCTTTAATTTAAGATATATATAAAAGTGTCAGACCTTCCGGAACACTTTCAAAAGTTACGTTGAAAAAGTTCTACTTTCTATATGCATTTTTATGTTTTGAATCCCCCCTGTATTTAGGGAAATGGTCCGATTTAAAAAAACAGTATGTCGAATGAAAGATCTATATAAATACTACTTCTCATAAAAAAATTGTAATGATTCATACATTTTTCAAAAAGTTATAGCATAATAAAGTTAAAAATGGAAAATACAAAATCGAAAATTTTCACACAAAAATAGCATTCGGTAGCCATTTTCACCATGAAGATAAGATAAAGTCCGAAATTTTTTTTTTTCATGATAAAGCATATTACATTAGCTTTAATTTAAGATATATATAAAAGTGTCAGACCTTCCGGAACATTTTCAAAATTTAAGTTAAAAAAATTAATTTTTTGTGAAAAAGTTGTCATTTTAAATCCCCCCTTGTGGGCAGGTTAAGGGTTAAATTTATGAAAAAAATATACCAAATGAAAGGTAATGATATTATGCATCTATATAAAAAAGAATTATATTGATATGTTCATTTTTGAAAAAGTTATGGCACTTTTAAGTAAAAAAAATTGAAAAAATTTCGAAAATTAGCGATTTTTAAATTTGTCATTTTTTTGGAGGTTTCCCCCTTTTACGGGGAACGAGGGAATTTTTTTCAATTTTTAAGGGTAATGTCTTCGACTAGATACGATTTGTGATCTTTTGACGTATCATTGAAAGAAATCGGTTCGGTGAGAGCTGAGAAAAAGTGGTAACAGACACAAAAAAAAAAAAACACATCTTAGTAAAACCAATACCTTCTCAGCTTCGCATCGAAGCTAATAAGCAATTATTCAAAAATACACTTTTTATGTCGGTAAATAATTATTAATACTACAATATATTATTTTATGAACTTTTGAGGAGTAAGATATCGCCGATGTTCGCCTACACTCGTATACTTGGCGATATTGAAAAAGATATCAATAAAACCAAACGGATAATTCCTTGAAAATTTTTCAATTTTTATTATTAAACATCTGCCAATAATACCACAAATAAAATTAGGCCTTATCATATCTGTGATTATTTTATGTTGAGTATATACATGTAAACAATTTATATTAGGTAGAATGTGATAGCCGTTTTCTACCAATGATACAATTAGAACAGGAACAGCAATTTGTAGCTTATTTTAGTAACCAACAAGTCTAACGAGTTGGCAGCTGTACTGTAAAAGTGTTTTTTTATTCTATAAGATATTTTTACTTATTAATTGTTCCTTTTACAACGTACGAATTATAAAACATTTTTTTTTTTTATTAATTTTTTGAATTTTAAATGTAACTCAACATTAAGTAATACCGAACAATTTTTATCAAACCATAAATATTATAATATATAATTCTTAATTATTACACAAATTTATTCAAAATGTCAAATTTAAAGTCCTTTAACTTTTTCAGAAGGTATAATGTTGTTAAAACTTTAAGGTTCTTTAATATTCGACATGGTTCACAGTCTATGTTATTGTCAGCTATTGATGAAAAAACTGGTAATTTTACAATTTATTGTTTAATAATAAATTAATGACATATTATTGTACATATTTTTTTAGGTTAAAACAATGATATAATTTTGTGTTTATTTCTTTAATATTTAAAAAATATATATATTTGAACCCCTTGTTTGTGTTAAACAGCGAAGAAAGAAGAAGAAAATAAAAGAATATTATTGGAATAAACTAAAAATATATACAAAGAATATATCAAAAAAATTCATATTATTTTGGAGATTTTACAACTCAAAACATCATTCTATTAAAATATGTTGCTTATTCACTTAGATTAGAATAAAAACTTAAATTAGGTTACGTTTCCATAAACTTTTTAATTATGTTGACTTAAATTGTTTGAATGTGATCAATTAATCCCTCAAGGGTTTTTTCTGGTGTATATTAGTTATTGTTTAAAAAAGTTAATAATCTAGAAGGAGTAATCATATATAATAATATACAGTTAATGTGTTTGATTATTTTACTGTAATTATTAATAAAATTAAATTTTATACTAATATTTTTATAAAAAATGTACATGTAGTTTTTTTACCATCACGATTTATACAACTCTTTAAATTATATATTTATCAGGGATTGCAACAGTTACATTGAATAAACCTCCAGTTAATAGTTTGAATCTAGAATTTTTAGAGGAAATTAAAAATCAAATTCTTCAGCTGCAAAATGAGAAAGCAAGAGGAATGATTTTAACTTCAGTATGTAATAGTATTTATTATATGTAATTAACTTTTATTTTTATAGTTACATAAATAAAGTTTATAGAGATAGCTCAGGTAGCTCAAGTTAGTGACTTCAAATAGAGATAGTAATAAATTTTAAAAACTTGTAAAGTTAAATTTTTTCATGTCTTAATTTTCGTTTATTTTATTTTACTGTCCCTGATATAAATATAATTAAAGAAAATATTTTAATTTTTTAATCTGCAGTTAATAATCAAAGTGTTATATCAAGTATTATCCTATTATGTTTTAATTTTGAACTAGGACTTTATAATTTTACAATATTATAAATATAATATATATTATGAAGATTAGCTTCAGTTAGTATAAAACTAAAAAGTCTTGAGGGCCCCGAATATTGTTAGCTAAGAATGTGATGTTTTTTAATAAAGTTTTGGTTATTATTAAAAATTATATTTTAGGGATTGCAAAAAGTTTTTTCTGCTGGTTTGGATATTACTGAATTTTATCAACCTGATCTCAGTAGATTAGCGCAATTTTGGACAACATTACAAGATACATGGCTAGCACTGTACTTGGCACCATTTCCAACAACAGCAGTTATCAATGTAATTATATTTTCTAATTTTCATATTTGCTATGAAAATATAATTTTATTATATATTATATCTAATTAGTAATTTTATATGTTATTTTATTTTATGTGAACAGATTTTTTTGCATTCTCTTCTAAAAATAACTTTAGAAAATTCCATAATTTTAGGGCCATAGTCCAGCAGGGGGTTGTTTGATGGCCATGAGTTGTGATTATAGAGTAATGGTAGGACCAAAATATACAATTGGATTAAATGAAACTAAACTTGGTATTGTAGCACCAAAGTGGTAATTTTTTCATTGTTTTTTAACTTCTTAATTAGTTAGTTAAGTAATTATTTGAATTAATTTATTCAATAAATAAATCTACTATTTAGAAAATGGATACCCAAAAATAATATGATATTTACTTTAGTAAGAAAATGGATGGCAGAATTCGAATAGTTAACAAGGATATTTCCAAATTATACAGGGTATAAATCTTTCGAACCATAGTAATGTATGGGCGAGTATGCTGGTAAAGTGTAAAATAGGACCTCGTTTTTTTTTTTTTTTTTCCAAAATTGGAGGAATTTTGGAATAACCCTCCCGAATTTCTCTAAAATTAAAAATAAATCATACCACAATATTCCCCGCGAAATTCTCATACAAATTGAGTGATCACTCGATTTTTTGTAACTTTTGCGCCCTCCCCTGAACTTTGGGTTCAAAGTTGGAAAAAAATTTCACATTAGTGTGACCTATAAATTTGTATTGAAATTTCAATGGGAGTCCTGTGATGTAGTTTATTTTTAGTATAAACGATTAAATAACAAGAAAAACCAAAAAAACTTACAAATATGTAATATTTATGCATTTTTATTGCACAAAAAAATAAACTATATTTTAAAGGTTATCTAATATTATGTGCAACTTAATAAGTGACTATTCAATAGTGAACAGTATTTTTCGAACATTTAAATAAACATTAACAAGCTCAGTGATGTACCATATTCTCATTATTGATTAATTTCGGAAAAGAGTAGTGTGCCGATTACATTAAAATAATTATTTCTAATTATCCTATTGTAATAAAGTTAAAAATATTCATTTCAATAGTATAATTGTTTTATTTTCGGGACCTAAAAAGAAAAAATTTTATAATTTTATGACAGTTTCAATGATAAAAATTATAATCGGTTTGAATAAATAATAAAAGACGAAATATACTCATGAAATTAAAAAGATATCACATTATTTGTGGGTTTTTCGGTATTTCTTATTATTTAATCGATTAAACTAAAAATAAACTACATCACAGGACTCCCATTGAAATTTCAATACAAATTGATGGGTCACACTAATGTGAAATNAAAATAAACTACATCACAGGACTCCCATTGAAATTTCAATACAAATTGATGGGTCCCACTAATGTGAAATTTTTTTCCAACTTTGAACCCAAAGTTCAGGGGAGGGCGCAAAAGTTACAAAAAATCGAGTGACCACTCAATTTGTATGAGAATTTCGCGGGGAATATTGTGGTATGATTTATTTTTAATTTTAGAGAAATTCGGGGGGGTTATTCCAAAATTCCTCCAATTTTGGAAAATAAAAAAAAAAAACGAGGTCCTATTTTACACTTTACCAGCATACTCGCCCATACATTACTATGGTTCGAAAGATTTACACCCTGTATATTCTATACAATATTATACTTTTTGAAAATAATGATGTTTACAGATTTATTTTTTCCACAAGCTTTATGATGTTTTTGATCATTAAAAAATGTTTTTATTTCACAAAAAAACAATAAAAAAATTGTAAGTCTCATTTTTTAAGTAGATTGAAGATGAAATATACTTTCATAAAAAAAATTTTTAAATTATTCATATACATACACTATATTCTCAGTAACTTTTGTTCTTTTCTATAAAATGAAGATATTACTTAAAAATATTAAATGATATGATAATATACAAAATTGTCATGTTTATTAGGTTATCTTTAATGTAAAAAAAGTGTTATATGAGTAAATAAAATATAGTATGACCCAGATTTATGTGCTTTACAATTTATTATGACTTCATACAACATATTTCAAAATTGATTTTGTAAAATATTTCAATAAAACATATGTTCATTTTTGGGTATCAATTCGTATAATATAAAAAAAAAATTAAAATACATAATTTAGGTTTCAGGACACAATGGTTGCAGTAATTGGTCAAAGAAATGCAGAATTATCGTTAATATTAGGTAAAATGTACACAACAGAAGAAGCATTGAAAATTGGTCTTGTGGATGAAAGTGTTGCTGATACAAATACTGCAATTGAAAAAGGCATTCAGTTTTTGCATAACTTTCAAAATATATCGCGTAAGATTAAATTAAAAAAATCAATAATAAAACTTAATAGTTAATCACATGTTATAAAGTTACCTTCTAAACACATTTCAATTACTTTAAACTATTTAAAATTCAAGATGATTCTCTTAATGATTAAGCCGCCAACAAATTAAATTTTTTTATATAAAAATGAAAAAAAAATAAAGAATTTTTTTTATGTGTGCAAATGAAAAATTATTTTTTTTTTTTTTTATTAAAAAAAACAGTTATTTTCTAAAAAGATTTTGCCCATTATCCAATTTTTTCTACTTTTGAATTTAAATAATATTTTTGAAAGTTAAATAAATTCAATATAAAAAAGTGCAAAATAATGATGTTTAAGATTAATTTTCAAGTTATTAGAAAAATAATTTTTGCTTAATAATTCAAGTCAGTTTTATTGAAAATATATCAACTTCTAAGTATTAATATTAATTTTCCAAGTGTATAATTTGTTGATGAACATTTTTTTTAGCATGGGCATTCAAAATGACAAAAGATATTAGTCGGCAACCCACTGTTCAATGGTTGCTAGAAAATAAAAAAAAAGATTTAGACTTTACTCTGAATTTTATGCAATCATCAAATATTCAAAAAGGACTTGGACTTTATTTACAGTCTTTAAAAAAATAGAAAAAGTGGTGAATGTAATATTATTCAAAATTATTATTTTTATTAATATTTAACACAAGATTTTTTTTAAATCATTTTCGATTTGATTCAAAATTATATTTAAAAAAATAAATGGCCTACTAATTAGCTTATAATTTTATATTTCATTACTATTTTCTGTACAAATAAATATATAAGACTAAGTAAAATACCTATCTTTTAATATATTAAACCTTATAATTAAATATTATTAGGTAATATATAGATATATTTATTTATTGATTAAGTAAAGATTTATGTTAAATTTTAATTTACTTACTTTCAAATAAAAAATCTGTCGTATCAACCTAAATTTATTTTTATATATAAATGTGCACAGTATTAAATTAAAGTGTGGTATATTAAAATAAATAGTTAACTTATTAACTTATTTTTTCTCTTAAAAAATAGTTGAGTGTAAAATAAATAAATAGGATGTTAAGTAAGTAAAAAAAACAAGTGTCTATTATTCTTATTGTTACACAACTGACCTATTTCCTTACTTACAATTTGTATATTGCAATTTATTTATGATAAATAACTTAATTAATCAAAAACATAAATATTTAGAACATTTTTTTTGCTCCTATTAGTTAAATGTTTTTTTTAATTTATCAATAGTATATTTTTTATTTTATTTCACTTCCAGTCTTCAATTTAACATTTTAATAACCTTTGAAACACTGGTCCAAAAAATTATTATAGACCAATCATTTTTTTAATTAGATCATTATCTATTAAATAAATTAGTTAATTATCTATGTGTTAACATTTGAAACAATAAAATTGAGGCTCTTATGAGATATAAGCCCGTGTGTGTGTGAGTAAATATCACAAATATATCTGTGGATGTAAAAGGAGTGAACATAAAAAATACTTTATGATTGATATATTAAAACATGTATCTGAAAAAAACTAAAACTAAAAATTCTCAATATTATTTTTATTTTTTAAATAATCTTTTGGTTTATAATAAATTACACTCTCATATTGGAGTTTATTTATGTACAATTATTAATATTTGATTTCATTTTGGTAGGTTGTATGAGTTTTTTTGTTTCTTCTAATAGAAGTTTTTTATTTGAAAAATTATAATGCAAATAATTTACAAAATTATGATGAATATTTTCTTTGATTTTTTAGTTAATTATTTTTTTTTTTTAATCAAATTTTACAAAACTAAAACGACAAAAATTCCTTAAATATAGATATAAAAAAAAACAAAATATAAGTTGCATTTAAAAATGATCAATACCATTTATCATATACTATACTTAAAGAGCACAGTCTCAACTTAAAAAAAAAAATTCCCTTGCATACCTATATGTTTTGGTATTAAAAATATCTTATTTATGTCAAAGAGTAAGTGAATTGTAATATAGTCATATAAGGTTTAAAATTATCATTAACAATTTTAATTTAATATACTGACTTTATTCTTAAATAAATTAACTATAAGTAAAAATAGTATAGTAACATAATAAAAATGTATTGTATAAAAATTTAAGAGTATACTAAAATTATTATAAGAATAAAAATCATTGGGCTTGTTAAAAAATATAAATACACACATATATATTATTATTGCTTATCTAGTATAAAATGAATATATTAAAATACTTATAATGTACAAATTTAGTCGTAGTTATATTTTAATAATATATAAAAGTATTAGCTTAATGGACTAAAAGGTGAATTATTTTATTCTCAATATCAAAGGAGTATGTGGTTAGGTAATGCATTATTTTTTAACTTAAGTTTATTGTTTCTGTAAATTGATATAAATATTTTGATAAAAAAAATAAGATAGTTTTGGTATGGTAAATGGTATTCTTGAACATCAATAGGAGATAAAAAGTTCAAACTATCTTTTTTACACTATATCATCTAATTTTAAACCTATACTGTTTTCGATCAATGAATGCAGTATTTATACTTTTCAAAACTTATGATACTTATGTTTGCTTATTACAGTCAAATTGTTTTACTTTATCTGGAATACTAGCTCTTTCAACAGGAACATTTTCGTAGAGTTCATTTAAACTATTAATAAAATGTATTTTGTTACCAAATTTAGAACTTACAAATGGTTTAATCATTAACATAAGAGTTTTCAACCAAAATGTTGGATGAACCAAGTACAAAAATTTCAAATTTTTCCTTAGTTTACGATCAATCATTTTATAACACCTTTTTAACCAAGAAAAACTTGGAATACAATTTTTTGAAGTACCTCCTTGTAAGTATACTAAAACATAATCTTCTGTAACTAATTGATCTAAAGTTGATATGACATAAGCAAACAGATTATTCATAACATAATTGTAATCTACACGATTGCGATGTGGTAAATAACATGCACTAAAAATAATAATGGCATTATGTGAACCTGCTGTCATGTATCCACCATGTGACAAAACACATTTATATGGTTCGATAACTTTCATATCAATTTTACTAACTATTCCACTTACTGAACAAGATCTCCAATTTCTTTCTTCTTTAAGTTCTTCTTCAGCTGTAAGTTCAGGAATTGTTCTAGTTTCGAGGTCAATGTTCAAAAATTTGTCTGTATTGTCACTAAATTCACTATCAGAACTAGATTCATAACTGTAATCTTCAGTTCTATTATTTATAGGAACTAGACGACGGCTTCTTGATGGTAAATTAATGGAAGTTGGATTATCACGTGTTAAGTGTACACTTTGTAAATTGTTGGTTAAAAGAGCACATTCTTCTTCAAATAATTTTATTTGAATGCATGAGTCACTATGGTTTTTAACTAATTTATCCAGATTTAAATTACTTATTTGGTGAGGATCAGTTGTTATGTTATGATGGCATAACAAATCTGGCTGAATAATATTCTCTGAGTTATGGTTAATCGTTGACCAACTGCTACCCATCGGTTTTTCATTGTCCATATTGAATTATGCATGTATCTTAAGTGACTGAAACTAAAGCATATCTTCAATAAGTTCCATTTTGGTTGTTTAAATATTTTTAAGTTATTTATTAGCTCATACTATTGAAGTTAAATTGATCTCAATTGATAAATTATAACTAAATTTTTAATTTCAGAACAAAATACTCAAGGTTATTGAAATCATTAATAGACACGTTTTTAAAAATTAATAATCATTAATAGATTTCAATGATACTCGAGTAAAAAAATACCGCAATATAATCAATGTCATAATTTTTTTGTTGCTGTATTATATGATAGTTATTAATACAACTATGTAATTTTTACAGAATTTCTTTAATGAAATACAGAAATTTCCTTAAAAAAATGTTTAAATAAATAAAATTATTCCAAAAATTTTGTTATCAAATAACAAAATACAAATTGTTTATTAAACAATTCCTAACATTAATCTTATAGTACATTAATTTAGACAAAATGAAATATTAATATTTTCTCATATTTAAATATAAAAACACTAAGTATATACTAAATCATGCTCCATTATTGAAAAAATATGTTAACGTCACCTTTAAATATCCACCATTTTTAAAGAAATTGTAAATTTTTTCTTTTATTTTCTTGAAAATCAAGAAAATTATGAAATTTTGTATTTTAAAGAGTATGTTGATATACTGAATAAATTACTATACAATGAACATTGAAAATTTTGGGTTGTATATACAAAAATATTCAATATAATATGAATAATATAAAGCATTTCTATTTTTTACTTTAGATTTTATTTAAATATAAAACACATTTTTAGTGAACTTTTTTTTTTTGCAAAAAAAAAACAAGTATAATAATATTTTGTTTTAATTTGAGTCATAATTTTTGGAAAAGTGTGAATTGTATCATTTGTTATCTTTAAAATTTTATTATTACTAATTTTTTTACTAGTTAAAAAATTAGAACCTAATTAAATCATGATACACATTTTGTTATTTGTCAATTATTTAAAACTCAACATCTCAGTTTAAGATATTACATATTAATAACAGCCCATTTTAAAATAATCATAAATTATATCTAGAGTTAAGTTAGTACATAATTAGATGGTTTAAACATTCAAAAAAATCATTTATGATTCAACATAATTACTATAACCAGTAGCAATGGTAAAATATTGAGAAAATATGTTACAATATATTAAAAATAAAAATGTATATTAACCTAAATCAAGGATATAGTTCTAAGTGGCATCGTTCCAAAGATTATACAAAGTATTATTTTAAAATTACTAATCATTTGACTGTATAAAATTAGCGGTGTTATTAAATATTAATTAGCAATCAAGTAAAAAACATACATTTTTTAATAACTGTATTTTAATAAAAAGTAATAACATCTTATTTTAAAATAAAATACTTTTAACCATAACTGTTCAATAATAAATATGAATAATCTAATAAATGTAACACACTTATCATAAATTTTATAATGAATTTATATGATAATATTGTTAAAGAAAATAAAAAAGAACTATAACATCAAAGATAATTTATCTTTTATTATGTTTGTAATAATCTACATATTTAAATTTTTTATACTTAAAAACAGTCCTATTTTATAATTTACAATATAAAAAAAAATTATAATATACAAAACATATTTTCAATTATGACCAATTTGAAAACCAAAGGTCTAATCTGATCATACCACAACAAATGTTACAGGGACTGCTTTTGTTGAAATTTTTCAATTACCCATTCAATAGCTTGTCGTCCCTTAGCTGCATTTCCTGAAATCTTACTAGTAAGTATGTTTTCTATATATCCACTACATGGTAATCCTTCAACAGTGACATACGCTGTTTGTTTGAGCAATGTTTTCTGTGGATCATCTGGATGAGGTTTGTATGAAAGTTTTTCTCTTACAACAACATACTGCCCCAATGATAAATTTCGGCTGTCTAATTTTAAATGTCTTTGATCCCTATTGACTTTTGAATACTCACTAGCATAAAATGTACTTATGGGACCCATAAGAGCATACGCCCAATTAGGGAGGGTCCATCGAGTAGTAACTAACCGATGAGAATGTAATTCTCCATTTATTACTTGCCGATCAATAACATCTATACCAAGAACAGCTGTATTCATAGGGTTAGGATATTTGTTCCACGCTGCTTGAACCACTGTTTCCCAAGGATAGTTAAAAGTATGTTCAATCGACCAGATCTTCATGGCAAACAAACTAAAGTAATTGTTCAGCAACTTATCCTGTATTAAATCACACCAAAGTCTTGTGATGTAAGAATAGTTAAAAATAATAGCTAAAAATTAAGAGTCATAAGTGTTAATCATATTTTCAAGCAAGATTTTTTAAAATCACAAATGCATTGCAAACATATTTTTTTTTTTATTAAAATAGGAACTTTATTAATTATTATTTGTTTAATACATATATAATTTATCAATTTTTTAAATAGTATTAAATGAAAAACTACAGCCAATGTTTCACATTATTTAAAATGATGTTTGTTAATTAGTCAATAATAAACTTATATGATTCACCAAATTCAAACAATTAATAATAAATGTTATTTTTAATAGGAAAACAACAATTGATCAATTATTTTTTTCTAGATAATTTAATTTATACTATTAAATTTTGTAAGAAAATTGTTAATTGATAATTATTAATCGTTAACTTTAAAAAAAATAAATAGGATTAGATAATCATAGAAGTTAAACTTTCATTAAAAATGAGCAAAGTAGTGTTACTGGAAAACTAAAAACACTAATTTTTTTTTTTAAACAACTAATTTTTATGAAAAAAAATCATTCTTATTGACAAATATAGTTTTGTATTACTAATTCTGTTACTCCAGAAATATAAAAATTAAAATGAATGCTCTAATTTTAAGTTTTTATGATCAATAATGTAAAAATGAAAAAAAAAAAAAAATTTTATACATGATTTTGTCTAAAAGCACAATATTTTCCCTCAAAGACAATTTTTTTAAGGGTGTATGAAAAATTTTACAAAGATCACTTTGGCTTATGAGAACAAAAATTTAAATGCAAATTTTTAAAAAATTATACAGAAATTGAAAACATTAAAAAAAGAAAATTTTATTCAATAAATCCTGTATTTTAGACTATTGTAGGTTTTTTATAATAAAGAGATTGCTTCGAAACATCAATCAAACAAATATATTGTTTCAAAACTCATAAATTAATCAAAAATTATTATAATTCATATATTTTTTAAAATGCATAATGTAATGCAATAACACCATAACACAACAATTAAAACTGATAGTTGCATTGAGCAAATGTTCTTTTTGAAAAAATAACATTTTCAATCCTTAAATATTTAGTTTCTTATAACAGTAAAAAAACAAATTATAACTATAAGTAAAAAGTAAAAAAATATTTAGAAGGCTTTTCATTAGGTGAAAGTATTTATGACAGAACATATAAAATTTGTTTAAAGCAAAATTTTTTTATCATTTTTTATTACATTGGCAATTTTAATATATAAATTTTTATTTCATAAATAAGTATAGAGGCTCCCCACAATGAACATATTTTGGAGACGTGTGGACAATTGTCTGAAAACTCAATTAATATAGTCATAAATTCTAAACCAAAATTAAGTTAAAAATAGAATAACAGTAATTACTATTTCATTTATAAGAACGTTACATAAAATGTTAAAAGATAAAGATTATATTAATGGTTTAATATTCTTCTGTATATTAATTTCAAAATAATTTAAATATGTATTGTTGTTATATATTGATGTGTAATCCATGTTTTTTTACTATTTATGCTTGATAATTCTTGCCTAATTATGCCACTATATTGTTAAAAAATAAATTAAATTTAAAATTCAAGAAAAATATTAAATTATTAAAAATAATGTCTATGCTATCAAAAAAAAATTGTAATCCTAATCTTGACAATCAATAAATAATTTTAAAAATTAGTAAACAGTTATTATACTAGCCTTTATTATAAAATGTTTTGTCAGTTATCAATTAAAATAGTTCAAAGGCCATAAATATTTAACACAAAATACTTTACAAATTGTGTTATAATTTTAAAAAAAAATAAGTTATTCTAATTTATAATTAAATGTTAACTACACTGGGAAGTACGATGCAGTGCAATAGTTCTGTATATCGTTAATATTCTAAATTGTTATATTAAAGAACTTAATTCCATATAATTATACAAGTAAATAAAAACTTTATCAATAACTTTAAGTTATTTTTTATACAAAATTAAAATGTATAATATAATAAAAAGTCAGTAATTTACTTTATATAATAAATAAAATAACTTACAAAGAATTTTCTTAAAGATCCAATTTGTCGAAAATTACGAAACAATCCAATATGAAAGTGACCGCTCGGTGCTGCTGCCTACAATTGAAGTATTCCGTATAATAAAAATTTAATTTAGTGTAGACATTAAATCACTGATATTACAGAATAAAGTACACTATAACCCTATTAAATACACTAATAATAATAATAATAATTGATAAATTTAATTCGGGCTATGAATCATAATCTTGAATACCTTAAAATAGAGAGGTTACACTACAGCTTACTATTCCTAGAGTACAAATATTTTTGTAAATATATATATATATATGTGTGTATGTATATAATTTACAGCATATATGCCAAATTCATAAGCAATTACTCATGGATGAAAATCTAAAAGTCTGTATTATCGATTTCAATACCAGTCGAGATATAGAAATTGATAATGTAATCATAGACCTTCAACATTTATTCACAGTCAAGCTCGGTAATGAATATAAACAGGTCATATAAGCTAGAGTGCGCTACCAATATGGTGCCCCTACTATATAGTTTTCAAAATTAAAATACATTACAAAATGTTTTAAAAATCCGACAAACAATTTAAAAATATAAATTCATATAGCGTTTATTTAAAATTTACTAAAATAATAAATTTAAACTTTTTTGTCTGACATTTTCTATTAAAGTATAGTAGATAAACTCTCTTGTCAATACTAACATACTTTAATAAATTGATAAGAACCAAAATTACTCTTTGTTATTACAATTTTTTCCACACTGTGGATATCAATATATTTATATAAATTAATAAAGAAAAAGATAACGTATAGTTCTTAATTAAATGTTAAATAATCTATTATAGATGTACTCTTGAAGTCAATGCTTAGACTCTAGTATTTTAGAACTTCGTAACATGAAATTTCTTTTTAACACATTACATTTTTCACATTAAATGTAATTTTTATGTATAAATTATAATTGTAATTTTCTATATTAAACGTTTGTTATTATTATTAACTTGTATAATGAAAACTATATGTAATTAAAGTTGGTGTTCTTTAGTTTAACAACTTAACCTAGAATGGCTGGGAAAACACCATCTGAAGTATGAACATATTTTTATGACTGAATAAGAAATTTCATATTTTTAATTAATTGTTTTTTTTTATTAGAAAAGACTTCACAAAGAACTTGTTTCACTTATTAAAGAACCACCTCCAGGAATGGTGGTAAATGCTGATCAAGCTGAACAAAACCTTAATGTGTTGGTATTTAAGTACTTTTAATTGTAAAAGAAAAACATGAGTGTAGTTTAATTTATTGTAAGGATATCTCTATGAAAACAGTGATCTTAGATTATTCAAAGTAATGATGTATTTGGTGTTTTAATTTGAATTGAAAATAATTCAAAAGTTCTTTAAAACTTCTTTTAAAATAAAAATAAAATAAAATAAAAAGTTCTTTGTTATAGGTGATAATAAATTATCACCTATAACAAATATGTTCAATAATATGTTCATATTCAAAGATATTAAAAAATATTAAGAAAATAATTTTAGTTTTATAAAACTATATATAGTGTTTGTGTTTTTTACCATTAAAATGAAAGGATTAAAGTGGTTTACCAAGATTTTTAACTATTATTTCTAAATTTGCTTTAGATTCATCACCTAAAGACATGTATGGCCTAACAGGATATCAAAAAATCCCTGTGGGAATTGTAATGCTAAATGTAATTTGTATTTTTATTTTATAGATGGACAATTAATATGCAAGGTGCTGAAGGAACCTTATATGATGGTGAACAATTTCAATTACAGTTTAAATTTGGTTCTAGCTACCCTTTTGAATCTCCAGAGGTATGATATCTATAAATTTAGTTTTTGAATTCTATAAATATAGTTTTACTTATTATTTTACTTAAAGGTTACATTTGTGGGTCAAAACATTCCTGTTCATCCACATGTGTACAGTAATGGACATATTTGTTTGTCTATTCTTACTGATGATTGGTCACCTGCTCTGTCTGTTCAATCCGTTTGCCTTTCAATAATATCTATGTTAAGTAGTTGCAAAGAAAAGGTAAATTGTGTATAGTTCTAATTTCATTAAAGTTACAAAAAATTCTATATAACAACAGTTTTTTTCATCTTCTAAGTTTACTTTTATGTAAAAAAAATACCATTCTATAGTCACATTATGTTCTACTTATTTTAAAAACAATTTACCCATTTTTTTTTTTTAATTTATCTCATTTCATTATCATTTAATGAAGTGTGCATGAAAACATTTTTTTTTAATCTTGTTAATGAAAGTAAAATTGATCCAAGACCTTTATTTAGGCCTAAGGATTGCTGTTTAATATATTTATTCATTATAAAAATTTTAATTAATTTAAGTAGTATATATATATTAAAATGTTAAGTACAATTGTTAAATAGTTTTGATTATCTGTGAAGTATTAAATTACTTTTTACTGTTTCAGAAAAGACCTCCTGATAATAGTTTTTACATAAAAACTTGTAATAAAAATCCTAAAAAAACTAAATGGTGGTATCATGGTTAGTATACAAATTGTTAAAGGTAATTTTTACGATTTTTTTAACTTAATTATTTTTTTAGATGACCAAGTTTGATACAAACTTACTTTCAAATTTCAATGTACCAAAAGTTTTAATCTTGAAGAAATTGTGATCTTAATTACAATTATTTTTAGCTAAAATTATTTGTATCAGAACTAAGTGATGTTTGAATCTTCATTTTATTGTTTAAATATATTTTTGCTGATTTCTTTACTTGGTTCATCTCTGAGATTATACTAATTACTGAGGCAATACTAATTACATTATTAATGTATTACAAAACATATTATTTAGTGTCATAAACAAACACGCGTTAATCACTATTTCTTTAAATAAATCTAAAAATATATTTTATAAAAAAATTATTGAACTAATCATTTTGTCAAAATAAATCAATATTAATGAAATGTATTTTAAACTTCAATTAAGATTATTTAATTAGTATTCATAAACCAAGGAATATTGATGTTATATTACAGTTATATTGATGAATAACTAATTATATGTTATAGTTATGGACATATTTGTGGCTTAAAAAAGTAAAATCTATATTATGTATAAATTTATATTTATTTATTCTGTTTGTTACAACTTTTATTTAAAGTAATATTTTTGTATTTATTCAAAGTAATCTTAAGTCTGTATTAGTTATTTTTAGTTGAAGATATAATCATTTTATTCAAAACTTTAGTGTTATACGCTCGCACAGTATTTTATTTGCAAGACTGATATATTCAGTAATTGTATCAAAATTAATTTACAGTTCATAATGGAATTATTTTATTTTTAACACTATACATACCAAAATTTCAAAGTTTAATTATTGATTGACAATTCTGTACCTAGTATTATTTCATAAAAAAATGTGTGTGAAACTATAACTAGGTGTCACTTTTCGTTTTTCCTTTTTCAAGTTATTTAGTTAAAAATTATTATTCACTTTTTGATGAAACAATGAAACTGTAATAATGTTATGTAATGAACTGTTTATAAATTTATGTAGTTGTATTAAGAATCTATGTTAAAAGAGCAGCATTACCACTAATTTTCTATATTTTTCAGTAAACTATTGAATACACTATAAGATACACTTGCTCATTTGAATACTGATTAAGTATTAAGTATAGATAACCAAAAAAAAAACTTGGCATAGCTGAAACCACTATAAATGATATCTGACAATGTTTAAATTACTATAATAATGGACACTGATGAAAAATCTGTAGATAGCATTTAATTTTTAGAAGGAATTGTATTATTCTAGAAGCAACATAAACTTCTATTTTTTCCTTAATTTTATCTTGATTAGTAGTTCTTTGATTTATAACTATAATATATGAATAAATACTAATTATAGTAATTAAATTTAGTATATAATTGATAATCAATAATTTAATATTGTAATTCTAACAGAGAAATGATAATACACTGGCTGTATATTTTGTTACTTTGATGGCAAATTTATATAAAAATTAAAGAGCTTGATGCAATACTTTTCAAAAAAAATATTGTGTTATTTATAAATAAATACACTAGTTTACAAGGAATTTTCATCAAAGACCAGAATATACTTAGCTAAACCAAATTTTTGCGCCTATTTAAAATCTGCAATAAGATTTTTTCATCTCTTTATTGAGATTATCACAAATTAGTAAAAAAATTGTTTTTCAAATTATTATTGATTTTGATTTATAATATGTTAAAAATGCTCCGTGCAAAATTTTAATTCAAAGTATCTTTTTTAATCAATTTTTTTGGTACTTTAAAGTTTTTATAAAAATTTATAATAAAAGGCTAATATTTTTAAAATAATTTTTGTTAACTAAATTTAAGTAAGGTATCACCTAGTTGTACATTTTTTAAAAAGTAATAATGGTGTAAAACTGAAATTTAAAAAAAATGTGCACAAAAACAATTTCATATTGATTTTTTTTTTTTGTAAGAGGGGACTTGTGATCCCCCCAAATTTTTTTTTGACTTTGAAAAACGTAAACAATTAAAAAAAATAAAATTTCTTAAATGAAATATTTTTCAAAAATTATAGATGTTAATAGTTAAAATATATATTTACAAATAAATATTTAGGGGGGATTAATCCCCTAACATCCCTTTCTAAATACGCCAATATAGTTGACACTAATTTCTTAAAAACACTTTCATATATATTTGTATAACAATTTATTAAAAGCAATGGGCTAAAACACAGATCGTCTGCTGAGCTTTGTCGTCTAACATCACTAAATTTCAACTTGGAACTTCCTGTATACGTCAATACATTAACCATCGACGTATATACTATTGCCCGTTTATTGTGCCTAATCGTCAGACTTCCACTAAATTCCAATTTGTAACCACCAGTATGTTGTTAATAAAATAATAACTACTAACGGATACGACATTGCTGTCCATCCGTTGCGGCGCGTTCGCATGATAACAGTTGTCCGACCTCTTGAAATATATTATGTGCTCAAATAACATAAAGTAAATTTGTAAGTATTTATATAGACATAGAAATGAGCGTTTAGTTCATGTACAAATAAACATAGTTAATTATTAACACTAATGAACCCATTTTCTGACTTAATGTTTTACTTTAACAATTTAAAAAAAAATTTTATACTTTTTTTAGGTCGTAATTGATTCAGAAACTATTTGTTATAATTAAGTTCTATTACATTTGTTCGTGTCCAATGCTGAAACAACGTTGTTAAAAATTTGTATACTTTGAATTTACACATATTTTAGTTGTAAAATTTAATCAATGTAATTCCTAATAAATTTTTAAATTACTGCAGCGTCTTAAAACATATGTTCATTTTTTAAAAAAAATAATATAAGCTATTATTGAAATTACTTAAATTAGCTATTTATTAATTTACTCTAAAAATTATATTAAAATCTTAACAGTTTTCTTATCGCTATAAAAATTATAAATGTCAAACATTATTTACAAAAAAGATCGTATTGGATTTGCGAAAATGTCACAGTAAAAATTAAATATTAAATAAAAATTGCGCAAACTAAAACTTGTTCAGCGTTTGTTAAATTCAAGCTATACAGTGGCGGCTCGTGGTTTGGATGACAGACAATCATACTCCCAACTAAAATTAATTAAAAGAAGAAAATGAATTGTATTTTCTTAATTTTACATTTTTATTAAAAATACAATTTTTTAAATAGTATAATAGTTATAATACATTTGTCGTGTGAAAACATTAAAGTTGTTTCCCTTAGTATAAGCGGGTACACATACAAACACAATCAGTGTTTGGACGACCAGCAGCGTCGTCCATACGGTAAAATATTAGTATATTACTATATTGATAAATTCATTTTTAACACGCTTATATTAGTTTCACGTGTATGTTGTTTGTTTGTTGTTTGTTTGTCGTTTGTAAGTTTGTAACTCCACGCGGCACGTGTTATTATGTCGCGTATCTCGTCGTGTATGACCTTGAGACTATACTGTTGTAATGCATTCGCCCCACCCCGCTCACCACTCGTAGACAACAATATTTTCTAACCCGTAGACGCGCGCGTGTCATCAATTATGTATATATATAACAAATTTTTATTGTAATTGACACGGCCCGCGTCGTTTCATTATACACAATGCCCCACGACTCGTGCCACCTTTATCAGCCGTCGCCCTATTATGAGTATTTGACTGACCAACACCTCGCGTTATACGCCGCTGTGCAAAGTCCAGCAAGCGCCGCACGCCCGACGACATTCCGCCGCAAATGATACCGTAGTCTTCTTCCCGTTGTCAAAGTGACAACGTCTACGATTCGATCCGCACTCGCGCGCCGTCGCTATCAACGCTGCTAACCTGTTGACGTCCGAGGAACACGCCGGACAACGCGTCGTCGATGCCAGCGAAAGTGCCGCGATATTATGCGAAGATTATATATTCCTACCGCCACCGCTAATATTAATATATATATATATATATTAATATTTGTACGTATATACGTATATGTTAATATTCATTTATATATTCCTACAGCCGACGCCTCTGCTGCCGTATATGCCTCGTGTATAATGTTCCCTCCGCCATGCCCGCCCACATAAACACGGCTATACCTAATGCATGATACGTTTACGTACTTAAGTCCCTTCAAATATATATATATTCTAATTACTATTAAAACTTATATATTAATACACTTTATTCTCATTAAGAGATATGTAGTGTATTCATTCCGATTACGGAGGATGATTCTCGTATTGTTATTTTTCGTCACTACCTCCACGTTACGCGCCTGCTGCTTTCCTTGGATGTGGTAGCCGTTTCTTAGACTCCCTCTCCGGAATCGAACCCTTATTTCCCGTTACCCGTTACAACCATGATATTGATATTAACTACTATCATAACATGAAACTAAAAAGTGAAAAATAAATATAGTTTAAAAAAACTAAAAAACACGCTTTTAAAGTACATCGAACTAAAAAGTTAAAAATAATTTTTAAAATTAACTTAAAACAATAATGAACGAAAAATACTAGTATTATTGTGAAAAAAAGCGTCAGGCGCTCAATATACAAAAAATATGGCATAAAGCACCCACGCTTTTTTTCACAATAATACTAGTATTTTTCGTTCATTATTGTTTTAAGTTAATTTTAAAAATTATTTTTAACTTTTTAGTTCGATGTACTTTAAAAGCGTGTTTTTTAGTTTTTTTAAACTGTATTTATTCATAATTAGAAATCACTGCGTTGACACTTAATAAGTTCTATTTAAATTAATTCATAAGATGCTTACATATTTATGTGTATACATATCAATGAAACAATTCATTATGGAATTTTAAATGCATTCGATTAGAAGAACATATTTCTATTTCTCATTTAATTTAAGGTAAGCATTTAATTTTAGTCATATTTCAAGTACTGAATTAATAATAATCTTTTATTTTAATAAATAATTTATTTTATTTCTAGGATATGTATATAAAGTATTATGAAATCTTAACAGCCTTAGATCATAAAAATACATCAGATTTTTAAGTGTTAGTGTGATGGAGACTATTAATTATTTTATATTGGTATTTATTGCCACATGTTATTATTAACCAGAAAAAGCTTTAGTTCAGCTGTCTTATTTTGAAAATAGATTATTCCAACATGTTCAATACATATTTGTTGCTAATAAAAATTAAAAATTGCCTATCAAAGACTTAGCACGGTTTAACCTCAATTATTATTTTTAAATGAAACTGGGGTACATCAGAACTAATTAACATTTGGATATGAAATTTATAATATTAATAAATGATTTATTAATTATTAATAAAGTATCTATGAAAATCTAGATAATTATTAATACTTATACACCAAAAAAAGAATTATACATCAATTTACTTCTCTTTTTATTTTTTCAGATTTTAATAAGATCAATAAAAAAAAATGTTCAGCAGAAATTAGTTGTTATAAAGCAATAATTAAAAATCTTTTGGTTTAAAAAAAAATTGAAGTATAGATATATTAATTAGTATTTAAAAAAATTACTGTATTTTTTTCTATTAATTATTTTATTAATATATATAATATTTCTAATTTAAATGAAAAAGACATAAATTAATTTTTATTGATTGGGTCTGAACCTAATTTTTTGGTAGAATTAAGTATACAAAATCACTACCTTTTCTTTTTATTAAAAAACTGATCAAATGTTAATCTTAGATCAGGGCCGTATACATGGTACAGTAATAGGATCTGAGCTACTAGTATGTCAATTATTTTAAGAGAAGTGTTAATTTTGAAATTTCCTTAATAAAAGAAAGAAAATTATTAATTTCAAATATTCTATCAAAAATATAAAAATTGTATTTTTGTGTTGTTTACACAAGGGATCCTAATAATCCAATGGTATTTTAGTTCTTGATTACTGAAAATTAAATAAATGGCCTATAAAAAAATGTATTGTATACAAATGTTACAATCAAATTAATTTCATAACAATAGTGTAAATTGGGAAAACTATTATTTTGGATTTATCATTTACTATCAAATAAATATAATTATCAATATTTACAAAAAGGCATATGGTAATTTTCTAGTAGCTCAATTAAATTTTAAAAATACGGCTCTGGTTTGAATTCTACTCGCTGAAGGTTAATGTCAGAAGTGGTGGTACTTCCAGTATAATGTAATAACTTAATCCGTTTCTTGACTTAAAAATCTTGAGGGCATAGTTTTGTTGTTCACTATAGAGGACAGTATTGTCATCTTGTGGCGTTCTTAAGTGATGAGAGTTCATTGAATGATTAATAAGTAAGGAGACATGGAGGAAATTAAAATGAAAATTTATATAATTTATATATAACTTTTTAGTTCGATGTACTTTAAAAGCGTGTTTTTTAGTTTTTTTAAACTGTATTTTTAGAATTAACGTATATGCTCGTTGTTATCTGTTGCTATGATAGTTAAATTACTATTACTATTATTTTCATTTCTATTTTCTACTGCGACCTTTAAAATAATATTTGTATTATGTTTCATTTTATTGTACTTAATTTGACAATTTTTTATACCTATGACTAGCGGTATTATACTTAAAGTCACATCACCAGCACCCACAAACCACCACTGGAGCTATAGTTTAAATGAAAACATCTTAAGTCTTAGTCATTTTAATGTTTTTTTATTAATTNAAACGTTTGATTATTTTAGAGCCATGGAAAGGCCTCTCATGCACGAGATGAGTATTAACATAATCACTCAGCAGAAGATAATATTGTAAAGTTAATGTTTTAACCTTTTTATTTCATTAATATAATATTACAATTGAAATTTCTACTATCCTACATTTACCCGGTACTCTGTCTGTAACCATTTTTTTTACTTAGTACTTGATTAGTAAATGTATTTAATACCCGGAACTTCTCTAGTATTAAATGTATGATCCATACATTTATTTTTTCTTTATTTTAAACAGTTAGGTCAGTACACATTTTGCAAATCACATCTCTTTTACACAAGATTTTCTCAAAATAGAAATGAGTGTTTCTATTGATGCTGATTCAGCCAATACTTATAATAATTCTAATTTAAAAGTTTTTAAATTTATATTTTAAACTATGAAAAAAAAGTAACTTCTAATTTTTACTCTAATTTAAGTTACGAAATTAAATTCTATTCTAACTTAGTTTTCATTTTAAAGTTATTTAACTTAAACTAGTTTGAAAAGTTACTAACTTACCTAACTTTGATTTTTGATTAGGTATTAATCAATTAGTGTAACTTTAGATTAATTAAATTTTTTTAAATTTATTTGTGTATAAAACAATAAGTTTTAAATTTATTAATAAGGTAGTAATTTTACCCTAAAAATTTTTATAAAAATATAATTTGGGATTTATTGTATTATGTTTCTTTACATTAATCATTATAATGGACTATTTAGCTCAAAATTCTCTATCTCCTTCTATTAACAATCATGGTTATTTTAATGATAGTTAAACAACAATGATGATAAAATCAAGTTATCTTTTTTTTTAATTATAACAATTTTTTATTACCATTTAGTTGCTAAGTGAATCTTATACATTAGTTATTATTTTAAACACATTAAATTATTTTATTTACTTAGTATAAGACCTATATCATATACCTAGTATTAGTACATGTACTTTTAAAAATGTCTTATTTTTTTTTTTTAATATTTGTCCAAAACTAAGAAAAAAGAACTACTGTAAAATACTTAGTAATTTTTGTTTAGTAAACATTATAAGTTTATATATTTTGTATAAAAAATTATATTTAATAAAAAATGTACATTAATTCATGAAATTTGTTTTTTATTGAAAATATTAAAATAAATTAGCTATATTTAACTATTAAAAAATAAACTTATTGTATACATTTTCATAAAAAAACCATTCTTTTTTTTACTGTCGTAAATCTTATATTTTATTTACACATTGTCATGATAATAATTTCCTATGTTTTTATACACGGCATTGAGAAAAAATCAATTCAATGTAAAAGCAAATGTTCTTTTTTGTTTGTGTTTCTAGTATTTTCATGGGTAACGTAGTAATAAAGTTTTTTTCTAATTGATAGTTTAATAAGACCTTAATTTAATTTTTCATTTATTTTTTATTCGTTTGAAGTATATAGGTTAACAGTATGAATATTATTTATACTTTTAGTATATGAAAGTGTTTAAATAAATAATCATGATCATATTTTTGGTTTTTTTTTTAGGTTNCTAATTAATTAATCATGATCATATTTTTGGTTTTTTTTTTAGGTTCGATGCGAAGCTGAGAAGGTATTAATTTTACTATGATGTTTTTTTTTTTTGTGTGTGTCTGTATACGCTCAATCTCAGCTCTTACTGAACCGATTTTGATGAAAAATATGTCAAAAGATCACAAATCGTATCTAGTTGAAGACATTACCCTCAAAAATTGAAAAAAAATCCCTCGTTCCTCGTAAACGGGGGAAATCCCCCAAAAAATTACAAATTTAAAAATCGATAATTTTCGATATTTTTTTATTTTTTTTTACTTAAAATTGCCATAACTTTTATAAAAATGACCGAATCAATATAATTTTTTTTTTATATAGATACCTTAGATATTTACCTATCATTTTATATATTTTTTTTATAAATTTGACTCTTTCCCTGCCCACAGAAGGGGATTCAAAATGACATCTTTTTCAACATAACTTTTGAAAATGTTCCGGAAAGACTGACACTTTTATATATATCTTAAATTAAAGCTAATGTAATATACTTTAATTTGAAAAAAAAAAATTTGACCTCTGGACTTGTCTTCGTGGTGAAAACGGACATCAAAGTTAAAGAAAAACGTACGATTTCCGTGAAAAAAATCTCGATTTTATATGTTATATTATTTAATTTATATTTTATATAACTTTTGGAAAAATGTATGGATCTATATTATTATTTTTTTATAATAAATATTTATATACCCCTTTCATCTGGCACGCTTTTTTTGTAAATCGGATCATACCCCTTTAACAAGGGGGGTCAAAACTTTAAACATGCGTATTGTTACTAAGATATTTTCAATTTAATTTTTGAAAGTATTCCGGAAATACTGACACTTTTATATATATCTTAAATTAAAGCTTATATAATATACTTTAATTTAAAAAAAAAAATTTGACCTCTGGATTTGTCTTCACGGTAAAAATGACTACCGTATTCAAAAATTTGCTATTTTTGTGTTAAAATTCTGGGTTTTGTATTTTATTTTATTTTAAAATACCTAACAAGGGGAGTACAGATTTTCATAAATATTATATAAATAAAAATTAATATAGCATAGAAAGTTAAACTTATTTAAATTTGTTTGCTTCTTTTAAGTCGAGAAAAATAACTTTGAAATTTGAACTAGCTTAAATGGCTAATTTTTTCGTCCTACGGCATCAACATACGGCCGAGTTGGTAAAACTTATGTTTTACATGCCTGGGGTTACGAGGTTCCAACTCGCGAATAGCAATGAATTTTTTACATTTTTTCTTAATTCTTTTTAAGTTAGTATAAATTTTTAACTCGTTTGATTTTTATCTCATTTAGATTCAATAACTTCAATAAAAATCAATGATCCCATCACTTTAGTCGTTCCTTGCAAGAAGAAATTTCTTATTCGTATTAAAATTATTTTACTATATTTTAAGTTTTATATATATCTTAAATTAAAGCTAATGTAATAAACTTTAATCTAAAAAAAAAAAAATTTACAACAATCAACTTTAAACGATTCAAAAAATAGGTTAAATATGTCATTTTCCTTATTTTTAACATATTAATAATCAAAATCGGTATTAATTTAAAACAATTTTTTTTGTTCTTAATTATTTTTTTTTATATGTAAATACTATTTTTTAATAATATTAAAACTTAAAAGTGATAGAAATAGTCTAATTGCACATTTGAAAATATCGCGAAATGTTGATTTAGAATATTATATTTTTGTTTCTGATGAAAGTTCCTTGTAGTACAGTGTATAAAACTTATAACTTTGTTAACTGTTAAACTTTATCAAAAAAGACCAAATCAGTATAATTTTTTTTTTATATAGATGCATGTCTTTATCTATCATTTGGTTTTTTTTTTTTTAAATCTAACCCTTTACCTGCCCACAAGAGGGATTCAAAATAATAACTTTTTTTTTTTTGGTAAAAGTAAATAATTAAAATTAATTCAGTTCTGGATATTTCAATAGTAGAATCTTTTTAAATATCAAAAATTACTTAGAAATGATTACTATGATTTCTATTTAAGTGTTCTATTACGATAAAAATGCAAAAAATAATGAGTTTTTCTGATAAATTTACAATAAATAGTAATTATAAAACTTTCTGACTGCATATTAATCTTAAAAATAACATTGTTTTAATTCTCATCAGATTTCCTATTTAATGATTTACAACACTATGAACCATACATCATAGCTGGCCTCACGATTTCATACTAAATTTAAAAACTATAATTAGTATTTATTCATATATTATATTTTAAAATCAAAGAACTACTAATCAGGATATAATTAAAGAAATAAGAGTTCATGTTGCTTTTAAAATATTTCACCAATTTCTCTAAAGGAAACACTATCTACAGATTTGCATCGAAGCGTTTCTTATGATAGTGATTTTAATCACTGTCAGATATCATCTATACTTGTCCCATCTATGCCTCGTCCACACTGTGCCTCGAACCTACTGTGCTACCGTTTTTTATCCCAATAGTATTAGTAAAAATATTGCTTGGTAATACTTCCATGACATCTATTTATACATACAATATGATAATTTAAAAAACCCAGCACAGTGGGGTCACGGCATAGTGGAGACGTTGCATAGTTGGGTCCAGTATAGATTTAATCTGATAGTGATTAAAATCACTATCATAAGAAACGCTTCGATGCAAATCTGTAGATAGTGTTTAATTTTAAAAAAATTGATGGATAATTACAAAAGAACATGAACNTAAGTTTGAAATTGATATTATTATTATAGTTAAAAATGAAATTGTTAAAATTAATATGCTGTTAGCAAATTTTATAATTACTATTTACAGTATATTTATCAGAAAAGTTAGAGTTTTTTACATTTTTATCGTAATAGATCACTTGAATAAAAATAATAGTAATCATTTCTAATTAACTTTTGGCGTTTAAAAAGATTCTACAATGGAAATATTCAGAATTTAATTAATTTTAATGATTATATATCTAAAAAAACCAATAAAAAAAAAGTTATTCAATTTAGCCTATTAGAAAAAAATAGGGCAGTGTATTGCCCTTTTTAGATATTTTAAAATAAAATAAAATACAAAACCCAGGATTTTAACACAAAAATAGCATATTTTTGAATACGGTAGCCATTTGCACATAGTAGATAGGTCGTCGGGACAAATTTTTTTTTTTCATTTTGTAGTACATAAAATAAGCTTTAATTTTATATATGTTTAAAGTTGAAAATTTAAAATCGAAAATTTTAACACAAAATTAGCGTTTTTTGAACTACGGCAGCCGTTTACATGCAGAAGATAAGATGTCGGGACAAATTTTTTTTTTTCATTTGATAGTATATAACATTACCTTTGTTTGATGTATGTTTAAAGGACGCTGTATTCCAGGAACATTTTCAAAAATTAAGTTGAAAAAGTTAGTTTTTGTAAAAAAATTGCTATTTTAAATCCCCCCCAATGAGCAGGTTAAGAGTTAGATTTTCAAAAAAATGATATCAAATGAAAGAAAAATATCTAAGGTTTTAGTATAAAAAAAAATTATGTTATTTGTTTATTTTTCAAAAAGTTATGGAAGTTTTAAGAAAAAAAAAGTGAAAAAAATGACAAAATTTACCGATTTTTAAATTTGTAAATTTTTTGGATATTTCCCCCATTTTCGGGGAACGAGGGAATTTTTTCAATTTTTAAGGGTAATGTCTCCAACTAGATACGATTTATGATCTTTTGACATACTTTTGAAAGAAATCGGTCCAGTGAGAGCTGAGAAAAAGTGGCAACAGACATAAAAAAAAAAAACATCATAGTAAAATTAATACCTTCTCAGCTTCGCATCGAAGATAAAAAAAAACACATCATGGTAAAAAAATACCTTTTCAGCTTCGCATCGAAGCTAAAATCAAAATGACAATCTGTATCAGTCAATGAAGTTAATTCAATAAATGTTTTGGCATATCTTGATGCTTATCCTACTATTTCATTACGGAAAATTGCTCGTAAGTCTAAATGATAATAACGTGAATTATTTATTAATTAAGTAATGAAATAAAAGATAATTATCTATTATTAAATATTTGATTCAAATTTAAATCAAGAATATTATAAAAATAGTATTTACATAATGAAGGTATTATTTGTCATTTTTACCTAAGTTTTATTACTTTTAAAATTGTTTTATTTCACAAATATTTCATTTATGTATGCATACTTAAACTTAAGAAAAAATGAATTAGTTTCAATCAATAAAAGGCTTAATTTATCTTTTCATATTTAATATTTATAAATGTAATCTTGGTACATTAAAACAAGGTAGCAAGTAATTCAAAAATTGTTTAAAAAGTATTTACCTATTTTTTCGACTTATTATTTAAAATTGGAATTTTTTGAATAATTATACTTATAATACTAAAATGCAAGTTATACTGATATGTAAATTTATATTGTTACCTATCATAAGTTAATATGAGGAGATAAACTTTTAAAATTATTAGGTAAAAAGACATAAAAGTTCTAAACAAAGACAAACAAAAGAACTACATTAAAAAATATCTGAAGAACTTGCATAACAATCAAAAAATTTTAAGTTGATTAATTATAAAAATTTTAATAGGATAAATAAAGATTAATAAATAAAATATTTAATTCTTTAATAAGTAAAATTATTCAGTTTTAAAGTATACTTAAATATTACAGGTGAATTAGGATTAAGTTACAATACCGTTCAAAAAATAGCAAAAATAAATAAATTCCACAATTTTAAGTTTACTATAGTACAAAATTTACAACCCACCGATTTTGAACGAAGAAAAACATGGTTAGCAATCATGTCTTCAAAAATTAATGAAGACACCAATTTTCTAAACAAAACTCTGTGGACTGATGAAAGTCGTTTTGAAAATCACCCCCCAATCAACAGACACAACCATCATTATTGGTCTGATAAAAATCCAAACATTACACATGAACACCACTTTCAAAATGGTCTGTGAATATATGGTATGGATTACTGGATGATCAGTTGATAAGTCTTTATTTTTTCGATGGCAACTCAAATAGTTCAAAATATTTATCATTTTTAAAAAATGATTTACCAATTCTTTTGGAAAATATTTCATTGGAAAAAAGAAGGGATATTGTTTAGCAGCAGGACGGAGCTCCTGCTCATAACTCAAAAATTGTTCAACAATATTTGTTTCGAACATATGGAGATAATTGGATGGGTACATAAAGTGATATTCCAGGGACACCGCGTACTCCTGATTTAACGTGTATGGATTTTTTCCTGTGGGGTCATCTTAAAGAAATAATGAGCCAGCAGTCCCCTAATAATAAAGAAGAGATGAAAGAAATTATAGTAAGAATATGTAAGTCGATACCAAAACATATTATTAAAAAAGTTACCTCTAATGAAATTCAAAAACGCATAGAGACGTGTTTAGAGATGGATGGCCTGCATTTTGAACACTTACTTAAATAAATAATATTGATGAATATTTAGAATTTTTATATTTTAAAATATAATTTATTTGATAAAATTATATATTGTGTAATTTTTTTTTAAACGAACTATTTAATATCAACTCTTATGTTTGGGGGGGGGGGCAGTGCGGTGAAAAATCAACATAACAATAAAACATACATAATCAAAGAATCAAATACTACCACATTTGTTAGGTTAATGTTATCTTAAATGTAAACAAACGATTTTTCGCAGTCTTATATGAACCATAATCTATTATGACGTACTATATTATAACATATAATGTAAGACGCGAAATCATAGATAATGAAAATAAAGCAAGCATACCTAAGTTTTTCACGTCGCGGTACAATACACAGATAGTTCTTATCGGTACACTAAATATTAACGATACTATATTTACCCGACTAATGTTTTATTTGTTAAATCCCCTAAACTTTAAATAGTAATATCTTACTAAGCTTAGAATTTATTAAAATTAATTTTTTTTTTTGAGAAAAATTTTTTTTTTTATTATAAACAAGATTAATAAAAAAAAAAAAATGGGTTGCTATTTGAAAAACTAAAGTTGATATTGATTTAAGGGTTGAGGGATGAAGATTGAATCTTCATTTTTCTTGTCAAGTAAATCAACAAAGATTTACAACAAATAAAATAATTACATATAAGATAATACTAATATTTTTAAAGAAAATTCGTGAGGCATAGTTAGTCAATCACCCTGTATATATAATCTCGAATGAAGTGTAAGAAGAAAATTTAAAACATCTGTCAAATATAACAAACACTTTTGCAAAAAAAAGAACAAATAAGAATAACTTTAATTTAGTAAAAGTAGTGCTTGAATAATTTGTACCAAAAATTGTCTAAGCCGACATATTAAACAAAATACATTTTATAAATGCAATTTATTGAGTATGCTAATGGCCAATAAATAGCACATAGAAAAATAACTCAACCGGATGGTCTATTAATAGCAATAATTTTAGTATATTTGAGCGATTAATTCCAACAACCGTTTTCAGTAATTGGAATAACTATTTTAAGAACGACGACAAATTCATTGATTATTTTCAATTTAATGGACAGATATTTGAGAAATTTAATACTAAAGTCGATTAAATTAAGTAGTTTGAGCGACAAATACAAATAAAAGAATAGGTAATCAACAATATGGCAACGTGGTTCGGTAAGTGTAAAGAACGATTTTAACGCTCTGTCTCTTGTAATTATACAGACTTAGTGAAAGCAACGTTGCCAGTTTATTTATAAAGTAATTTCTACACCGCGTATTCGAGAAAAAATAACTGAGTGACTATTGCGTAATGTAGGATTTTTTCTGTATTACAATTTGGCCACCGAGTACGCTTTCTCATGCAATATATTCACTGTACTATACATTTATGACAGTTTAATTTTGATCTTCTAAATATTTGAATTTGTCGCTCTTACTACTTGCCTCGATTGACTTCAGTATTAATTTTTTCTAATATCTGTCCATCAAAATATAAATACTCAATTTTCGCTAATTTATTGCTCTAATATATTTATTATTAGACGTTTCATGGGCGCGCATTTCACCTGCCTAACTATAAAAATAGTAATAAATTCCAAAGTATTGATCCAAATATTATTTTTTTAAATATAAGTTTAACATTTTTATCCTATTATTTAGATAAATATGCATGTTGCCGTTTGAAAAAATATAGTTGGTATCCTTATAATGGATAGAGGACGAACCTTAAAAGTATTTAACCATCCATAAATTAACAAATAAATAGTATTCAAGAATGGGAAAAAAAAATGTCTAAAATTATTATTACTTTAGGAAAAGTTTAGTGGTCAATGATAAATCAATCACTCTTTAAAGCTAACATTTTAAACATTTTTTTACTGATATTTCACACAATTTTTATTTTACAGTTTTTACATTTATTAAGTTCAAAGTTTTGTAAACTATTATTTCTATTTTTTTATTTTAAATTAAGTTACTACAGTGCATAACCGAATAAATTAATATAAATTAAAACATATATTTAGTCTTAAATAAAATGTAATACAATTTCTGCTAAAAATAGAACAAAACAGAATAACTATAATGTAGTGTAAGTGGTGCATAAATAATTTATACTAAAAATGATCAAAGCCGTCATAATATACATAAATGCAATTTCTTTACAATACTAATGAGCGATAAATAACGAATAGCAAAATAACCTAATACGATGATCTATTAATAATAATTTTAGTTTATTTGAGCGATAAATTGAATAACCGTTTTCAACAGAGGGGAAATATATTTTTAAAACGGCGACAAATTCATTGATTATTTTTAATTCGATGAACAGAAATTTGAATAAATATAGTTTAAAAAAGTTTTTAGTTTTTTTAAACTATATTTATTTTTCACTTTTTAGTTTTATGTTATGACAGTAATTACTATCAATATCATGGTTGTAACGGGTAACGGGAAATCAGGGTTCGATTCCGGGGAGGGAGTCTGAGAAACGGCTCCCACATCCAAGGAAAGCAGCAGGCGCGCAAATTACTCACTCCCGGAACGTGGAGATAGTGACGAAAAATAACTATACGGAAATCATCCCTCGTAATCGGAATGAATACTTTCTATCTCTTAATTAGAATAAAGCGTGTTAATATATAAATTTTAATAGTAATTAGAATATATATATATACAAGTAAAGCGACTTAAGTACGTAAACTAGTGATGGGTCGTTCACGAACGAACGGGTCATATCAGTGTACGAGTTGATCCGGATCGCAAATAAAATAGATATCGTTTATACGTTCATTCGTGCGTTCGTTTCACGCAATATATCGGACACACTGTTTCATGATTCGTTCATTTACTGAACGTTTACCTGCACTTCGGTTAAAACCTATGCCTAACCTTATATTCTTATAATATAAAAATTTAAAAAAAAAACNGTATTAAACCACCTCACTCTTTTATAATCTGGTCATAGCTGCTGTAAATTGTAATATCTGATTTAGGTGAATTAATTTCTCTATAAAACTCCTTTTATGAAAACAAATAATTTAAATGATTTCGCTTATTATAGAAACAAATACTATGGATTTATGTACCGCAACTCATCCGCTAGTATAAATTATTTGTTTTTATTCTATACAAAAATATTCGTGTATAACAGCATATTATGTTATTTCAAGTAATTTGTATTTGAAAAAATAATATATAACTCGATTATACAAGTGTATTATCAGAAAAAATTGTGATATTACGGTAATGTTACATGGTGAAAATGCGAATTTGAACGACTCGTTCAGGAAAACCATAGTAAGGAGTAATTGATAAGAACCGTGACCGATCGTAAGAAATGAACGAAAGAACGAGTTATATGAACGGGTCATTTGAACGATCCGATCCAAACGATCCGGATCGTTCGATTGACCCGAAATTCCCATCACTAACGTAAACATCATGCACTAGGTATAGCCGTGTTTTGTGGGCGGGCGGATCGAACTAACGTTATACCTGAGGTATAAACGGCGGTAGGAATATATAAATATATATACGTAAGGCGCATTAGATGCGGGCGTTATTGGTCAGTCAAAATAAAAATTTGTTAATATATATATAATATTAATGACAAGAACGCGTGTACGGGTACGATAACTAAAAATAAATTTTTATAGGAATAGTGTGCCGTCGTGTGGTGAGCGAGGCGTGGGGAGGGGTGAATGCGTTATGACAGTCTAGTCTAGACAACGGAATATGCGATAACGTGTGGCGTTTTGAGAGTTACATACATACATACATACAGGTGAAACTAATATAAGCGTGTTAATTAATACTGAAGTCAATCGAGCCACAAATAGTAAGAGCGACAAATTCAAATTAAAGAGTAGTTCATAAGCAAACTGACAACGTGATGTTCAAAGCATTAATAACGTTTTTAATGCTCTGACCCTTCAGTCTTCTCAAAGCAACGTTGCCAGTTTGCTTATGAATTTATTGCAATATCGCAGGTCACGCAACAGAGTGACTATTGAAGATGACAGGATCCTTCTATCTGACCATTTACCCGCCAAGTTGCATTCTCTCATACAGTGTATTAACTGTACTATACATTTATAATACTTTGTTCGACCGGTTATTTGAATTTGTCGTTCTTACTACTTATGATTCGATTAACTTCATTATTAATTTTTTCAAATATCTGTCCATCAAATTAAAAATAATCAATGAATTTATTGTCAATTTGTTGTATATTCTTCAATTTATTGCATTAGTGTATTAGTGACTATTTTTATCATTTAACATTATTTCAAAACCGCACTTTTTCACCCATCAGCTATAAAACTTGCAAATTTCCGAAGTACTGGTTTAAAAGTTGTTATCAAACATTTATTTTCTTAATTAGATTATTTTCTATTTTATAAGCTAATTCAATACATTTGTTGTCGTTTAAAAAGTATAGTTTATAAAAATAAAGTTAATAAAGAGATAAGGGTGAACCTAAACAATATTTATGATTATTAAAAGAAGATA